CGGAGGGCTCGAGGGCTCAAGGATCGACCCCTCCGAGCCCTAATGGAGCCCTCCAGCCCTCCAGCCCTCCGAGCCCTCCGAGCCCTCCGAGCCCTCCGAGCCCTCTTGGGGGGCAGAAGAACATAAGCCGCGACATCGTTTTTTTTATCTTTTTGCGACCCCTCCCGGAGGGCCCTTCCGACCCCTCTCGAGCCCTACCGCCACGAAGATCCTCCCTTGTCCGACCGTCCCTCCGAGCCCACCCGGCGTCCGGGGAGGGGGTTAGCCCTGTGGAGCCCTCCCGACGCCGATCCGACGGGGACCCCTCCAGCCCTGTGGGCTGGCGAGCCCTCCGGTCGGAGGGGTGGAAGTGGGAGGGCTCGAGGACGGACCTCTCTCGCTCCGGGAGGGTGGAGGGGTGCAGGGTGGAGGGGGTGGAGGGGTGGCTGAGCCCTCTAGCTCTTCCGATAAGCCCTACCCCTCCCGCCGTTTTAGGGCTTGCTGACCCGCTATGTGGTGTGTGGAAGGAAGGTGTTGCTAGCCGCCCGCCCACCCTACATGCCACCCTAACCCTGTGCCGGTCTGCAGTCTCTTTCTATCTCTCTTCGCACGAGTCCCTCGCCGATTCTCGCTGCAACCTTCATGCCACCTCGCGGTTGTCCCACTCTCGTCGTTCTCTCTCTTGTCGCTTCATCCTCTGTCGCGTCGCTCTCCTCTGCCTCGACCCTCGTGGCTCGGTCCTGCGACGCCGCCGCCTGCTGATCCCTTGTGCTCTCCTTTGCTCTCGCGGCTTCTCCCGCCTTTCGGCGCAACTCTGCCCTCCTCGCGGCATATTTTGGCCCCTCGAGTTTATCAAGCTCTCCTCACGCAAGGACGACTCTTCTGACACCCACTCCGATCATTTGGAGAGAGAGATTTTAGCCCCCCGCTACCCGGTTGCACTCGTGCGACGTAGCGGGGGGCCACAACTACGTTTACGAAAACATAAGTTGTTGCGCGAGGTGTGAATTGTTCCGCCCCCAGAAGCCCCATTTCGCCTCGAGTCGCAGCAAATCTTTTGACGATGCACGCGCCCCAAAAGCGGCGGCAAAGGGCGGGTGACCGCAGTGCGTTCGCCGTTGCCTCTGAGGAATGGCCGAGGCCGGCGCGAAGGCTGCAGTCGCTGCGCTCAAGGACGCGACCCTGATCAAGTCCAAGAAGGCCGACTGGCGGCTCGTCGCCGCGGCGCAGGCCATGCTCCGCGGCGATCACCCAGATGAGTTCGCCGCGGCTGCGGCGATGGGCAAGCCGATAAAGCAGCGGAGGGAGGTCTCAAACTGGTTGGACAAGCTCCGCGAGCTGGAGCGGATGCGCGCGTCGCTGCGCAGCCAGCCCGGGGGCAGCGGATCGGCGGCGGGCAGCAGCTTTCTCGCGCAGGTGGGCAGCAGCCTCCTCGCACAGCCTTGCTGGATTGACGAGCATGCACCGGGCGTGCAGCAGCTGCGCGTGTCGGCGCCGGTCATCTCGCCCGGCAAGCAGCACGCGACGCGCTCGCTCAGCGCGGTTGTGACGACGCCGCTCGGCTCGAAGCGTCCGGCCAGCGCGACGGTCGAATACACGCTGCCACCCGACGGCGAGCCGGCGAGCGCCTCAAAGCGGCGCGGCGACCGGCACCGCAAGCGCGAGGAGCGCGCCATCAGGTCAATGGACTTCAGCGAAGCAGCGCAGACCCACGCCTGGGTACGGCTGCCAGTCGATGCGCCACCGTATGGGCTTTCTGCGGAGCTGCTGCTCAGTTCGGCTTGGATTACGCGGCATCTGACCCTGATCGAGCCGGGGAGCTTGGTGGTGGGCGAGCTGCAGCTCGTTGACGAGTTGACTGCTTTTCGCGAGATCCACGTGACGGTCGACGACGCCCACTTCCGCCCCTTGTGCGGATTTCCCGGATATTTATATCCGAACGTAGGCGATTTAGATGACTACCTCAAGAATCCGGTAGCCCCAGACGGGGAGAAGTGGCCGTCGTCGATGTTGGAGAGTAATTGCTGTGGTGCGCCAGTGCAGCTGATGACGATCACCTCCGACGTGAATGGGGTAGGGCGATCAACAGATGCTACGATGGTTGCTTGGCTGCGTCACGACTTCGAAAGTGATGGCTGGGACCACGTCGCCTGGGACTTGGTAGGACGCCACCAAGTCAGTGGCGCGGTGGCGATGGGACGTGTGCCTGAGACGTCGTATGAGTACCTTGCAAAGTTCTATGATGATTTCTATGGAGACAGAGCCACGTTGCGGCAAGACCAAGCCATCATATCATCTCTGACTGCGTCGAAGACCTGTGCTCAATGCAAGGGTGATGTGCCGGATGTTGCGGTGCGCTGGCGATGCGATGCGTGCGACTTTGATTGTTGCTTGGCGTGCGGCACCTCGCAGCAGGAGGACGGCCTTAGTACGGCGGTGGGGTATGATCTGCCTCCCGCGGCGGGAGAGTCCCAAGCCGAGAGCAATCGTCGCAGGGAGCGTCACCGCAAACGCGAGGAGGCAGCTATTCGCGATCTTCACAGGTGGTGCGTGGGAGGTCGCGTGTGCGCGTGACCGTGCTCCGTGGTGTATTTATTTCGAGTTTTGGGACTTTTTGTGTAAATGTAGCGGGGGGCCCCGCCGGAGGCTGGTTACTGATTGAAAACCAACAAGAAATCACGACTCTCACAGTGATTTGGGCGCTCGGCAGCTTGTCAGCCCTCAGCCGAAGCTGGGGCCGGTCCGGTAGCCGAGAGAGCCCGCGCCGATGAGTTCGACGCGGTCGGGAGGCCTTTGCGGAGAGACCAGCGAGGTGACGATCGCTGTACTTCATGGTGTCATCAAGTGACCGGCTGACAAGCCAGAGGTCGATACTCTGGACGACCCCATAGGATGCCACGAATGCCTGAAGGAGAGGGAGGCGAGGCCAGAGGCAGACTCAGTTGCTCTCGGGTGATCTCGCTTTGGTGGCCGAAGGACCCGATGGTCCTGTCACTTTCGCGTTCCGAGTCGTGGGGGTAGAAGATTGCGGGGGGGCATCGAGTCAGCACTTCCTTGTAGTACAGCGGACCGCCAGGATCATTTGCCGCCAACCACAAGTCATGTCGTTGCTCAGGTCCACTCTCGTGTCGGACACTTGTACCTCCACAGATAATGATGTTGGCGCTGGGGTCCCCTTCGGGTGCATCGTGACAGCGACGGCGGGATTACCACTGGTGTTCCGTCCAGGGCGAAAGAAAGAAAGAAAACAGACAAGACAAGGGAGGGATGGGAGGACGGCACGCCGCCACCACACAGGGATTTTAAGGAGAGGAGTGTGGTGCTAGCCGTCGCCCACCCTAACCCTTGGTCGTCTGCCTCTTTCCATCTCTCTTCGCAGTCCCTCGCCGATTCTCGCTGCAACCTTCATGCCACCTCGCGGTCGTCCCACTCTCGTCGTTCTCCCTCCTGTCGCTTCCTCCTCTGTCGCGTCGCTCTCGTCTGCCTCATCCTGCGACGCCGCCGCCGCCTGCCGATCCCTTGCTCTCGCGGCTTCTCCCGCCTTTCGGCGCAACCTCGCGGCATATTTTGGCGCGTGAACAGGGCTCCAGGCCCCAAATGACGTGTGAGTGTTAGAGTTGTTTGGTATTGCTAAAAATCTCTCTCTCTCTATTTTGGCCCCTCGAGTTTATCGAGCTCTCCTCGCGCAAGGACGACTCTTCTGACGCCCACTCCGATCATTTGCCGCCAAGTCATATCGTTGCTCAGGTCCACTCTCTCTTCGAAAACTTGTACCTCCACCGATGATGTTGCTTGTTGGCGCTGGGGTCCCCTTCGGGTGCATCGTTACAGCTGACGACGGGATTACCGTCCAGGGCGAAAGAAAGAAAGAAAGAAAACACACAACAAAGGGAGGGATGGGAGGACGGCACGCCGCCACCACACAGGGATTACCGTCCAGGGCGAGCTAAAAAAAGAAAGAAGCGCACAGGAGGGATCCGGCGAGCTAAGAAGCCCAGTCAGCCTGAGCTCAGTTCGGGCTGCCTGTCGTTTAGCGTCGGATTCTGAGGCGACTACTTCGCCAGAGCTGCTCCGACTACAGTACAGGCTGCTCGTAGCATGCACTACTCCTCCGGAGCAAACCTCGGCGGGTGGCTCGTGCACGAGGCCTGGCTGCTTCCCAACATCCTCCTCACCCGCCTTGGCGGCGGGAGCATCAAGGACAACCAGGAATACGACTACATTCAGCGGATGTGCGAGCGCGGCATTGATGCGGTGCAGTCGATGAGGCGGCACTGGGCCTCCTTCCTGGGCGAGGACGACGACTACGATCTGCTCAAGGCCACGAGCCCGCCGCCGCTGCTCACGCGTCTGCGGGCGCACGGTGTCACCGTGCTGCGCATCCCGGTGGGCTACTGGATGTTTGAGCCGCCCGCCACGCGCGGCTGCCCCAGCGCATGGCCGCCGGTGCCGGAGCCTGCGCTCAACCGGTCACGGCACGGCAGTATTCTTCGCTCTCTCTCGGAGGAGGGCGTGACTGCAGACGGGTTTGTCACCGGCAACGCACCGCACCTCGCAGCGCTGCTCTCGCTGCTCAAGCCACTCGGCATGCGCGCCGTCATCGACATGCACTCGCTTCCCGGCGGCGCGGTCCGGCGCATGGGATACACGGGAAAGTTCTTTGAAGAGACTCACGCCTTCGACGGCGCAGACGCCTGGTTCGCGGCGATGGACAGCTCGGGCGTCGCGGGCCCGCCCCCGGCCGCGTTCCCGTTCCTCTGCCGCTCGGCGCGCCCGCGCGTGAGGCGGCCGCGGTGAAGCGAGGCGTCGCAGCACCGCTCGCCTCTGACGCGTAGGTTGCCGTTCTCGAGCGGCTCGCCGGCCTCGTCTCCGAGCTCGACGGCGCGCCTGCGACCGAGGGCGTCGTCGCCGCCATCTCCCCGTGGAATGAGGCACGCACGGCTCGAGAATACACTGTGATGACCCGAAATTACCCGAGATGAGGTGGCGTGAACAGCTCGAGATAGCTGAGATTAGCTGAGATTAGCTGAGATTGCTCAAGGTTGTGGAACATTCGCTCTCTGCGCCCCTGCCGAGAGGCGTAGCGGCCGTCGAGGCGCAGCTGCGCGCCGGTAGGCCCTCTTCAGCGAGGACGCAAAGGCGGCCGCGCTCCTCCCGCCCTTCGCTCTCGCGCTGCTGCCGCGGCTGCGCCGCCTCCTGCCCGCCGACCGGTTCGATGTGCAACTCAACTTTTTCAACGCCGGTCTAGATTGGCCTGCGTGGCTCGCGGCAAACGCGGCGGGGCTCGGCGGGGGCGTGGTGGCAGATCTGCATATGTACCACGCGTTCGATCCGCCGGGCGGGACCCGGTGCGGCATGTGCGTCGCTGGCGAGGCGGCCGGCCGCCCTCTCTCTCACGCATCAGCCCCGTGCCTCTCCCTCTCTCTCCCTCTCCCTCTCCCTCTCCCTCTCCCCCTCTCTCTCTACGCCTTCTCCCCGCCAGCCCTCGCGCCTCCTCCGGGCCCAGGCGGGGATGAGGTCTGTGCTCTGCCAGTCCTGCGGCCCGGACGCCGCCGTCTTGAAGCGGCACGCCGACGCGGGTGCGTGCGCTTCGTCGCGGGCGATTGGTCGTGGAGCCGTGCACGAGCCTCCTCGGAGCCGTTTGGGTAGGCGTGCGGTTCGTGGTGGGCGAGTGGTCGCTCGGCACGTGCGGCATGTGGGGGTCGCACCCTCACACCCTCAGCGACCCCGACTTTCTCTACACGTGGCACGCCTCGGCGACCTCGAGCTTCGTCAGCCACGGCGCCGAGGCCGACTTCTTTTGGAGCGCGACCGTCCGCGCGGGAGGCCACGACAATATTGATTGATTGATACGACCAGGGCTCCGGCCCGATCCCCTCTCCCCCCTCCTAACCCGAACCCGAACCCGCGCCCTTTAGGCTACGACCCGACCCTCTACACGCCGCAGGGCCTCGGCTCGCGCGCAGCCGTCTTGGCGGAGCTGGCGGAGGCGGCGCGGCGGCCAGAGTGGCAGGCTGCCAACGAGTTTGTCGCGTCGCCCGGCTCGGCGATCGGCGTTGACTACTTGGTCAACTGGAACCTGGACCGGCTCTCGTCCACAACCACTTCCGCAGGCCACCCGGCGGTGCTGCCCGCCGGGCGCACGGCTGGCGGCTCGGGGCAGGCTGGCGGCTCGGGCCAGGCTGGCGGGTCTGCGGCGGGAGAGGGGCTGCGGGTGCTCGGCTCGTGCGACTTTGAGCCCGCGCCGCCCGCGACGATGACACTCGTCGCGGGCCGCGGCGACGGCAGCTGCGGCATCTGTGGCGACCTCCCGCAGGCGCTCGGCGCGGCTCCCTCCCTGCGCCGTGGCGGGTTCCCTTTCACCCGAGGCCTCCCTTTGCTCGCAGGCGCTCGCTTTCTGGGCGACGAGCTACCCCGCCGTCTCCATGTTCGCGCTCGCCCTCCTCTGCGTGGCGGCCGGCTGCTGCTTGCGGCGGCGGCGGCGGCGCCTCGGCGGCGGCGGCGGCGGCGGCGGCGGCATGTACCTTGGGCCGGGCATGTATGTGCCAGCCGCCACCGCCAGAGGCGCGGGAGGGACTGTCCTCGAGATCCCTCTCCTGGAGGACGAGCCGGCGCCCACCGTTGCGCCCGAGCCGGTCCCGTTGCAAAACGCGCCGCCGGAGGAGGGCGAGGGCTCGGGCGTCCTCCCGAGCGAGAGCGGGCAGGCGACAGCTGGCGGTGGAGCAGGCGCCGCCTGACCATAGTGACCATCGTCAGATTCGATTCGGGCCGTACCATCTACCAAAAACCTACCATGGCATGCGGACGCGGGACGCGCATGTGTGTGCATGTGTTCATTGAGCGCCCAGAGACACCTCTTATAAGGTCCCCTCGGGCCCCTTTAGGCATTAGGGCGGGGGCAAACTGAGGTCTTCCCGCGGCGGTCCCCTAGAACCCCAGGGGTAAGGCCCCAGGGGTGTGGCCCCTTGGTACTGTAGGGGCTAAAGCCGTCTGCGTCTCCCGTGACGAAAAACGACCAACGCACCGGGCGCCTGCGCCCGAGAACGACTTGAGTTCGAATACGTAGGAGGCATCAGAGCAAAATTGAGCCCGCTCAGGTGTGAAAAAATATGTATGTATTTTAGGGGCGGCTCGATTGGACGGAGGGTGGACGCGTCCAGGGGGGGTCTAGGGGGGATCACGGCACTGGGATTTTGCAGCTCGGCTGCATCCAATGGCGATGGGCTGGCCTCACGGTCACGTCGGCGAGGACAGCGACGGCGTCGTTGGTGGAGCGCAGGGGCGAGGGCGTCGATCGACGGGCGGCGCGCCAGGAGCCCCTCGCTGGCGCGGTAGCGGGTAGGTCACGGAACGACGGGTCGAGCCCCTCCGCCAATTGAGGCGGCGGTCGAGACGGTGAGCGGCTGACGTCCTCGCGGGCGTGGCGGAGTACGGCCGACACTACGTGCTGCGGCAGCCCGCGGCGAGCCTCTCCTCTCCTTAGAGGAAGAGACGTGGAGGCAGGTGACGCTCGGCGCCGGCAGCGCGGCCCCTAATACCAGCGGCGGGGCGAAGCGAGCGACGGCGAGAAGAGCGACGGCGAGGCTGGGGACGCGCTGCCGTCCAGCGCGACCGACGTCGGCGGCGCGGTCGCCACCGGCGGCGAGGGGAGCGGCGTCGAGAGGGGCTAACCACATGGTCGTGCTCGCTTACCTCAAGCGCGATAAGGGTCAACTCGCCGATTTCGAACTGGAGGCCACTCGACCGTCGAGGTGCCACCGGCCGACCTCAGCAGAGTAGATGTTCGTGGACCGGTAGCGTCGGACCGGCGGCCCATACCCATACCGACGCTTGAAGTGCCAAGAAGGACGTCATCAGTACGAAACTTCAGAAGGCCATGGGCGCCGAGAGAACATTCCCTCGAGAGGACAAAGAAAGCCGTCGCACCCCCTCCTTGCGCAGTTTAGCGCAGTGTCCCCCGCTATGTGTCGCCGATTGGGGCACGCTATCCTGTGCAGTCAGGGCAAGCGGGGGCGGGGGGCAGTCCCATCTCTCCTGTGTACGGGTGGGTTCTGTCTCCAGTCTCGGAGGGGGGCAAGAAGCTAAGAATGTTTGATTTTTTAGGGGCTAAAGCCGTGGGCATCAGAAGGCTTTTCAGACCTCAACCGCGGAGAGGTCAGAGGAGTCCAGTCTGAGCCATAGCAATTGAGCCATAGAGCCCTTTATCAGCCCATGTCTTCGCACCCGAAGGTCGCGCTGAATGCCCGGAACGGCCGCGTCTCAAGTGCACAGTGGTGTCCGGCCGGCGCGATCACCGAGCTGGGTGACGCTCAGGGAAGCCTGATGAGGTACTGGTTTCTTTGCCCAGGCCTGGCCCATGTGCATGCGTGATGCGATGGATCAGGACAGCTGAGCAAGGTTTGGGGAGAATCCTAAATTAGGATCTTCAGATATTTTAACGGATGACCGAAAATGTGGGCAAAAACGGGGTGATTTGGGTCCACGCTTCGCACCCCTGGAAAAGGATGCTTTTCGCTGCACATGCTGAAGCCGCCAGGCACAGCATGTGCTGTGAACGGAATCGTCAAAATTTGTCTCGTCGAAAGCCAGGGCGGCATCGCGCCGCCAACCAAGAGAATCATCTTCAACTTCGCCAAAGAGGTCGGCAGCCCGAGCGCCGTCGACCGCACCGACTACGGCACAGCCTCCGGCAACGCCCGGGGCTTCGCCCAACACCACTCGCAACAGCTCTCGCGCGCCGCCGTCAGTGGCGATGCGCAAAACATCAACAACGCTGCTCGCAACATGCGTGTCGCGCACTCATTCATGACCGCTCAACATGTAACGTGCGTTCCGTTCCACGTGCCCGTCCCCAGCAAGGACATTCACAACATGCTAGCCCAGCAGGCCGCTCCCACCGCCGCCCGCGGCGGAGCCAAGGCGGCAAAGGGTGGCAAGGGCGGCGGCAAGGGCGGTGGCAAGGGTTGTGGCCGTGTGGCGCACCAGACCCACTTTGCGCCGCCGCCCTCAACGCCCGATACTCGGTTGAGCCGGCGGAGCGACGGCGGCAGAGTTGCGGCCGCTGGCGAGTGCGGGTCCGACCTCACACGGCGTCGAGGGCGGAGGTTGTGGGGCATGACTTCTCAAAACACGGCTGTGAATAACTCGCACAAAGCGCTTTTACCCACGGTCCCAGCGAGAATACCTACTGCCGCGATGGTGCGCCCCATTCCCGCCGCGGAGCCACCGGACGGTGCTGCCGGGAAGGAGGCGGACCTGGACGAGATCCTCGATGAGATGGGATGGGGTCGGTTCCAGTGCTTACACTGCGCGCTCATGGCGTACGTGTGGTTCGTGGGCGCGCTGCAGACCCTCTTCATGGTGTTTGCCAAGCCCGGCCTCAGGGCCGAGCTCCACATCGAGTCCTCACACACCTCCGCCCTCAACTCGCTCTTTTTCGTCGGCATGCTTGTGGGCGCGCCCGTCTGGGGCGCCGCATCGGACCGGCTTGGGCGGCGGCGCGCCTTCAACATCGTCATGGTCCTTTACGTGGCGTGCAGCTTCGCCGAGGTCGTCGCGCCCTCGTACGCAGCCTTTGCCGCCGCCCGGCTCGTCCTCGGCTTCCTGCAGGCGGGGCAGGGCCTCATCTCCTTCGTGCTGTGCGTTGAGCTCTTCAGCGCGAGCCGCTCCGCGACCGTGGGATTCGTCGTCGCGGTCGCCTTCTCCGCGGGCATCGTCACCCTCTCCCTCGTCGCCGCGGCCACCGACGCGGCTTCGCACTGGCGGCTCTACGCGGCGGTGCTCTTTGCGCTCGAGCTGCCCGTCCTGCTCTTCCTCGGCTGGCTCGTCGAGTCGCCCCGCTGGCTCCTCAGCCGCCGCGGCGCTGAAGCCGCGGCGCGCGTGCTCCGGCGCGTCGCCGCGGCCAACCGGCAGCAGGAGCGGCCGCTGCGGCCGCCGCAGGCGGGGGGCGGCGGCGCGGGCGGCGAGGGCGAGGGGTTGGCTGCGTTGCTGCGTGGCCCAAAGGTGCGGCAGCGGCTGCTGCTGATGGTCGTGCAGTGGTGCGTCGTCTCGTTTGTTTACTACGGCCTCTCCTTCAACGTGGGCAACCTCTCCGAGAGCGTGCACCTCAACAACGCGCTCTCGGGCTTGGTCGAGGTGCCGGGCTACGGAGGGTCCACCCTCCTCGCCGACCGGTACGGCCGCAGACCCCTGCTGGCGGGCTGCCTGCTCGGCGCGGGCGTCGCCTGCCTCGTCGCTGCGCTGCCGCTGCCGACCGCCGCCATCACCTTTGCCGCGATGATGGGCAAGCTCGCCGCCTCCGGCGCCTTCAACGTCGCCTACTTCTACGGCGCCGAGCTCTTCCCCACGTCGGTGCGAACCGCCGCGATCGGCGCGTGCTCGCTCGCCGCGCGCGTCGGGGGCATCGTCGCCCCGCAGGCGCTTCTGCTGGTCCCCGTGGCGGGCACGGCCGCCGTGATGGCCATCTTCGGAGCCGCCTCCCTCGCGAGCGGCCTCGTCGCGCTTAGCCTGCCGGAGACGTTGCACCGGCCGCTGCCAGACACGGTCGCAGACATCGACCCGCCCGGCGACGCGCCGCCGGGCAGCAGGCGCTGGTCGGGCTGCTGCCCGACGCGGCACGCCCAGCTGCTGGACAGACGAGCGGTGGCGAGCGCAAGCAGCGGCGTGGAGGTCGGGGTTGGCGGGCGAGCCGAGGGTTGCGGTGCACACGAAGGCGGCGCGCCGCAGCCGCCGTTGGACCCAGGGTTGGAGGCGGAGGAGGACGCGATGGGGGTACCAACGGTGTATGGGGTGCCCATATCGAGGTCGTTGGGTGTGGAGCGACGAGGGTGTAACAATAATACAAAGATCTAAACCGTACGGCTCTGAACGGTCACGAAAGGTTCGGCTCGGTCCTCTCTGAAGTCTGACGAATATCCGCGATATGTGCGCGGTGCCGGGGTGCTGATGTAGTTGTAGACGATGATATGCCATATGCGTTCGTTAGATTATGCCACGCGCCTCCGCCGAGCGCCGACGGTCCGACGCCCACCACGGCGAGAGGGGAGATACGTTATATTAAATAATTATATAATTTTTAATATTATGTACGTACATATACGACACGACATACCGCGCGAGAGTGTTTTATGTCATATGTGTTTTCTTTCTCTCAGCGTTTGTAGTTCGCGAAACGAATCGCCGCGCCGGACCACCGGACCTCAGGGCTGTCGGCTGGGACACACCCGAGACAGCAGACACGAGACAGTCGGCCTCAACACACACGCAACCAGTCGCCACTTAAAAGGCTGACGGGGCGTCCCGCGCCCTCGACCCGGGACCTGCTCCGTCGCCTGACGCCTCGTCAACTCTCTCTACGCCTCGACCGAGCACCCAACTCTGCGCAGCTTGATCCGATTGCGACGGACCACCCGGTTGCGACTGCTGGCTAGGTCTTCCCCTCACCACCGCATCCGCCTGCTCGCGCGCCTCGCTCTTTGCGCGCTCAATCGCGGCGGCAGCGGCGCGCGCGAACGCCGAGAGGTGCGCCTCTCGCACGCGCTTCGATTGCATCTCGTGCTCGGCAGCGGCCGCGTCGCACACGCTCACCTGCCGGGTACGCATGGGCGGTGGGAAGGGGCATGCGAGGGCAGAGGGCGGGGAAGAGGGGGGGGGGGGGCGCCACGGCATTGCCCCGCAACAGCAGCTGCTGCGCCGCAGTCTGCTCGGACCAGCACACTCGCGTGCCGCTGCTGCAGCCGCCGCCCTCGCCGCCCTCGCCGCCTCGGCCGCCGCGCGACACCTCCACGACGGCCCGCTCTCGCGCGTCGGCGAGCACCTGCGGGGGGCGGCGGCGCGGGCGGAGGGACGGGGACGGGGAGAGAGGGGTATCGGGGAGGGGGGGAGGGAGGGGCGGTGTCGGGACGGGCCGGCTCGCCATGTTCCAGTGCGGGTCGTACGTGCGGAGCTCGCCCTCGTAGACGCCTGCCGCAAGTCGGGAGGGGGCGTGTCGCTGGTGCGGCTGCGGAGAGGGGAGCGGTGGTCGGCGCCCGAGCGCCTCGCAGCCCCGCCTGCCGCCGCACAACCACCCGCACGCGGCGGCGAAGCCACCTGCGGCGACAGGCCGCCCCGTCAGTCGAGCACCCTCGCTGCCTGTGTCGGTGTCGGTGTGCCCCCGCCGCCGCACCGCTTGAGCCCCGATTTGCCGAGAGGCCCGGGCACGTCAAAGCTCTCCGCCCACTGCTGCGAGAGCGACTTGAGCTTTACCCCGCCGCCACCGCTGCCGCCGCCGCCGCCGACGCCCGCCGACTGCTTGACTGTGCTTGCGCTTGATTGCGCCGGCGCCGCCGAGAGCGACCGTCTCGTCCGAGGAGAGAGCAGCGCCTCGGAGCCGAAGGGCAGGCACGGCGGCACGAGAGGCGCGTCCCGCCTGTGCCGAGCTCCAAAATGAAGCCGAGGTGTGGCTGCGGGGCACGCGGCTGCAGCGAGCCGCGCCGCTCGCCGATGCCGCCCCGTACGCGCTCGGCGCGCGGCCGTCGCTCCGAGTCGAAGACGCGCTCGAAGCCCACCTTCGAGTGTGGGGCCAGCCGACGAGTGAGCGAGCGTCTCGGGTGTTTCGGGAGGCAAGCGTGGGCGGCATCGGCCACCGCGAACCCCTCGCCCAGCGCATCGCCGTCCTCGATCGCCGAGCGGTGGCAGAAGAGGTCCTGCCCTCCGTCGGCCGGGCAGATGAAGCCGTAGCCCTTCTCGACGTCCCAAAGTCGGACGGTGCCGCGGTGGCGCGGCGCGGGCGGCGGCCCCTCTGCCGGTGGGCTCTCTGAGCGAGGGCGCTTCTGTCCGCTCGCGGCGGCGGCCGCGATGGCGGCGGCACGCGCGGCCGCAGACGGCGGCCGCGCCGGACGAGCCGCCGCGCCGGGAAGCAGGCGGGCACAGGCGGCGAGGTTGTCGAGCGGGCGGACGTCGGCAAAGGGGACCGTCACCGACCGCGTGATGTCGAGCGCGCGCTCGACGTCAAAGACGTCCGGCGGCGAGAGGAAGTCGAGCTCGGGAGGCGGGCGTCCAAGGCCTAGCATGCTGAGTGTGGTGCGCGGGGACGGAAAAAGAACGCGGCAGACCCGCTGGTAGCAAGGTTAAGCAACCCAGCGACGGAGATGGTGCGGGGGTACGGGTGTTCCAGGGGGTCACGACACGCACCGACCCTTCACGAACCGAAGGCACAGTAATCCGGCAACGTGTTGGGCGCCCCATTCCGTTTAGGGCTAGGTCGGCTCAGGGCCCCGTCCACTTCCCTCCCACTTGGCGCCTGATGATGAGGAGATGCCACCCAGGCCAGCCGGGGCAGGGGCGGAGGGCGAGGGCGGAGGGCGGGATGGGCGCCAAGCGGGAGGGAGCGGACGGGGAGGGGAAAGAAAGAAAGAAAGAAAACAGAAAGCCAAGGGAGGGATGGGAGGACGGCACGCCGCCACCACACAGGGATTTTGTGTTGGGATTTTAAGGAGAGGTGTGTGATGCGCTAGCCGTCGCCCACCCTAGGGAGTCTGCCTCTTCCTATCTCTCTTCGCAGTCTCTCGCCGCTTCTCGCTGCAACCTTGACGGGGAGGGGCGCACCTTGCAGTAGCAAAAGAAAGAAAGAAAGAAAACAGACAACCCAAGGGAGGAATGGGAGGACGGCACGCCGCCACCACACAGGGATTTTAAGGAGAGGTGTGTGGTGCGCTAGCCGTCGCCCACCCTAGGGAGTCTGCCTCTTCCTATCTCTCTTCGCAGTCTCTCGCCGATTCTCGCTGCAACCTTCATGCCACCTCGCGGTCGTCCCACTCTCGTCGTTCTCTCCCTTGTCACTTCCTCCTCTGTCGCGTCGTTTGCAGTAGCAAGCGAAGTGTTTTCTATCGTCGACGTCCCTCTAAATGCGAGGGGCCGTGTCACACGCCATCCTCTTCGCCACTGCCGCCGCCCGCCCCTGGTCCCCGGCCGCGATCTCCGACTACGTGCGTGAGCGCGCCGGCGGCCCGCGCGCCGGCGGCGGCGTCTTTTGGGTCGGAGAAGGCACGTTGCGCCGCGCGAGCGGCCGGCGGATCGCGGCGCTCGACTGCGTCGAGAGCGCCGAGCGCGAGTGCAGCGGCGGCGAGGCCGGACCGGAGGCGCCGGGAGGCGCCTTCAGCGTCCGCCGCCTCATCGTCTACCGCGACCCTTCCGGCAACGGCACACTGCTCCACGTTCCCGACGGGCGGGCGCAGAAGCCGGTGCCGCCTCTCGAGTACACCCATGTGGTCCGCATCGGGGCGTCGTCCGCCTCGCCCGAGCCCGCCGTGTCGGCGGCGCGCGCCGACGGCAGCGAGGTGGCAACGGGCCGCACGCTGCGGTCCGGGCTGCGCCAGCGCCCGCTCTCGCGCGTCTTCACCCTCGACGTGCAGGCGGAGGCGCCGCGGCGTGGCCGCGGCTCGAGGTCCAAGGCAGAGGCGATCGGGCGGTCGGGCGACGCGGCGGCGGCGCTGCTCACGGGCAGCAGCGGCGCAGGCGTGCCGGGCACGATTGAGGAGTACGAGCTGCGCGTGCCGCGCTGGCCGGGCTCCTCGCCCCTGCTCGGGCGGGAGCTGCTCTACCGCAGGACCGGCCCTTGCCCGTCATGGTGCGGCGCCGGCGTCTGCACCACGGAGCTGCGGCTGAGGAGGTGCCGGCCGCCCCTCGCCAAGCGCACCCTCGCGCGGCTGCTGCGGGATTGCCTCGACACCGACGGCCGAGCCAGCAGGGAGCAGGAGTGAGCCGAGAGATATATACTCTAGCTGGCGGGCAGGTGAGGAGGTAAGGTAAGGTAAGGTAAATTTCTCCACACACACAAAGTGGTGGGGCAAGGGGGGGCGACCCTCGCATCTCCACACCCGGCCACACGGGCAGGAGCCCCACCGCAGAGTGGGCATCCTCCGTCCTCTCCGAAATTACCGGGGAAAAAATACAAAAAGTGCGCGGCGCTGGCAAGCCTCGGAGCTCGGTGCACTAAAGTGCACTGCGGCACACTCGCTGGTCACTGCCGGCTCTGCTGCGCCGCCCCGGGTCGCCGCACCGCGGTGGCCGGTGCACGTCTGGGTGAGCAGCCTGTCCCTCTGCTGCTGCTGCTGCGCTTGTTGCTGCTGCTGTTACCTGATACCTCCGGTCCAGTACTCCCCCGTGCTAGGACCACAAGGCCCCACGGTACACGGCGTCTCCACACATTACGGCTCTCGACTACGTAAAGCCGTAGGCGAGTCACACATGTGTCGTGATTGGGATCAAAGCGCTGACTGAGAGAGTCATGAATGAATGTATGTGTGTGTATGTTTATTGTTTTGTCATGTGAGACGCTCCCGGCGGAGCGACTCATTCATCTGGCTTGGGTCTGCGGGGCGCTGCTCCTGTGCTCCTCCCTCCCGACAAACCAACTCCAGCACACACACGTACACAATATCGCGACCTGTGGGTACCCGAGAGGCGGAAAACGGGAAAACGCAAAACCGCCCCAGCGATGCAGAGAGCGGCTGTGACTCATCACTGTTGTGTGCTGGTGAGGACGTTTGGACGTCGTTTGAGAGAGGAGAGACAGAGAGAGTGTTCAGAGTGTGGGTGAGACAGAGCGATACGTGCGTGGCAGGTGTGTGGTGTGTGCACACTCATAGGGACGCACACTCTGTGACTGTGTGCAATGGTTGGGTAGCAGGGGTGGGGTAGAGGGTTGCCCAAAACGTAGACCTGCTCGCAGCCGAGCGCTGAACTAAGCCCCCGGAAGGAAACGGGCTCTCAAACTTAGACGCTGGTGATCGGACTCACGAACTTAGACGACACGAGGTGGCCAGTTCCGGGTCTCTGCAGGAAGCCCCCCCCCCCCCCCCCGCCCAGCCAGGGAGCCACAGCCCAGCCAGGCTGCCCGGTCCGGCCCAACCTGGTTTGTGGAGCTCCCACAGATTACCTAGAGAGCACGGCATTCGGGGCCATGATCTCGGTTCCGCACTGGACTTTTTTTGTAGTGGAGAGAATTAAGGAATCTTTCTGCTCTGGCAGGCAGCTGCATCATTCCCCTTTACTTCAATCAGCTGTGTACACTCAAGTGCTAGTACTGTCTGAATAGCTGTCTAGACGCTCCGATTTTGCTGTCTGGACGCTGTCTGGACACTGTCTGGACGCTGTCTGGACGCTGTCTGGACGCTGTCTGGACATGGAAGATCGCGTGAGGTGTGAATAGACCTGCAGACAGGAATCATACTCTGATACTCAACAACACGTCAGCCAAATGTGAGCGATCAAAACTTGAGTTGCATTCTCTTGTGGTATGACGTATGTGGACAAAACATCTTTCTCAGCAATGGAAACCGACGGAAGCACCATCCCTCCCTTTAGTTTTGCCCTCCGCTCTATGCACTGGTGAAGGACGATCCACATAACTCACCAGACAAAATTCAAAATTTGAGCTAAGATTTGGGTGGGGTTGAGCGCGTGAACGTGAAAATCGCCGATTTGGCGCGAGTCGTCGCGCCTCTCGAGTCGCCACGCTGGCAACCGTGCCGCCCGCCGATGATCGTCGCGGCCACTCTGGCGCCGGCATCGGCTCAGCCACCGCACGGCAACGCGACCAAGCGCGGGCGGAGCATGGTGACTGCCGAGGTCGTGAAGCCGGCCAAACGCTTGGTTGCAGTGGCGGTTGCACCGTCCCAGCCCGTGCCTGCAACGGTTGTCGCAGCTGCTAAGCCTCGCGCCTGCGTGGTTGCGGTGCGGCATGTGGGTGGGTGGGTGGGTGGGTGGGGAGTGGCCTCGGCAGCGCCAGGGGTGCTGTCAGGGGTCGTCCAGCCACGACTACGAGACTTTACTGTGAATAGTGGAGCCATGTGCCACTGTCTGGACGCTGTCTGGACGCTGTCTGGACGCTGTCTGGACGCTGTCTGGACACTGTCTGGACAGGCTCAGGACTGTCTAAACATCTGTGGGAGCTCCACAAACCAGGTTGCCCGCGGTCTGCTAAATAAAAAGTGTAAACCCTGGATATTTTGCACGACCCCATGGGTCAACAAGCTACAAGTGCCGTCGCCACTTGCCGCGCACGCCCTCCTCTCAGCCTCCGTGCGCAAGTTGCGACGCACGCCCGCCGCACGAGGCGAAGAAACGATTTTGAGGCACCCTAATGATCACGGCCGACTTAGCCCGCATAAAGAGGCTCCCGCCGATCTTAGACCGCGTACGCACCCGAGCGTGACCGGTCACACTTAGACCCGTTAAGCCTCGAGGCTCAGAACGTAGCCTACTACCCAACCAGTCTGTGTGCGGGTCGGTGGTCGCCGTCTCTGCACTCTGGTCTCTCTCCCCGGCGCGAGAACCCGCGAGAGTCGGCGAGTCTCCCGTCTCCGGCGTCCACGGGACGTCAAGTCTCTTCGCCGTCGCGCGTGGATAGTGTGTAGCTCTGAGAAAGAAAGACATAGGTGTGCCCTCAAGCGTGACGTACAAGACACACAAATAAAAACGACGACCGGCGACCCGCGCGGCGGTCGTGCCGCGAGGGCGGCGCACGCGGGCGGCCTGCACGCCGTCGTGTGATACACAATCGCTCTCCACACCTCGCTCACATGGTCCTCGCGCCTCATACCTCGGCGTTGTACAAGTCGGCGAGCCGCTCCTCCGGCGACTGCGAGCGCGTCGACGCGTGCTCGCCGCCTCCCTCCGCCGCAGAGCGGAGCGGAGCAGCGTTATGCGCGCCCTCGTCCCTCACCATCGCGACGCCCTCGTCGCCGCGCCGCCTGGCTCCCCTCTTGTAGCCCGCCGGCCGCTGCGGCCTCGCGCCGTCGTGCGCCGCCAGCCCGTTGTGCTCGCCGTCCGCGTCGTTGGCGAGGGACTGCTGCTCGCCCGAGCAGAGCACGTAGAGGCCAGCGAGGATAACGAGGACGGCGCCTGGTGTACATCGGCGCGGTGTGAGCGAGGACTCGAGCGGGGGCGGCGAGGGGGGCGAGGGGGGCGCCGAAGTAGAGCGCCATCAGGTGGGGCGGGTGGCCCTCCTGTGGGGCGGGAGGGGTGGGAGGGGTGGGAGGGGTGGGAGGGAGGGCTCGCGCCTGGCTCGCTTGGCGAGCGAGTGGGGAGGGGAGGGGAGGGGGTGGGAGGGGTGGGGAGGGGAGGGGAGCTCCTTCTCGTTGAGCACGACGTTGCCCGAGATGGCGCCCGAGATGACCATGAAGCCCTCGAAGACGGTGATCATGTACAGCGCCTCGAAGGAGCGCAGCCCGACCGCGAGCAAGTAGAGCGCGCCTGCCGGGCGGGCGGCGGGGCGGCGGCTCGAGAGGTGTGAGGTCAAGAGAGGAGGGGGGGGGGGGGGGGGGAGCTAGTTGCTGAATGGCGCTCCATGCTGGATGAGTTCCCGCCCCGCAGGCCAGTGCGAACGAAATGGTGATGAAAAGGTACGGGTAGGGCGTCAGGAAGGGGTTTTGCTCGCACCCTCCCGCGGGGGAAGCCTCGGGGTCGCCCCAGTGGAGGGCGACGCACTTGACCATCTCGACGCTCGCCTGCGGGAACGGTGCGGCGTGCGTGAGAGAAGGCTCGCGTTGCGGCGTGCCGCACGTGGCCTCGGCCGGTCGCCTTTGTCGTCATCATGTTGCCTGGCGGCGAGGGAGGCGCGGGGTGGCGGGAGAGGGCCGGAAGGGGCAGGCGGTCGTGGGGTGTGCGGGGAGGGGTGCGGGGAGGGGTGCGGGGAGGGGTGCGGGGAGGGGTGCGGGGAGGTGTGTGGAGGGAGGTGTGTGGAGGGAGGTGTGCGGAGGGAGGTGTGTGCCTGCGAGGAGGCCTCCGAGCGCCCCGGCGGCGAAGCCTCTCCAAAAGTGGGACCCGCGCCGGAGGTAGTAGAGGCAGACGGCGGAGACGGCGGCGAAGCAGACGTAGTAGAGCTGCGCGAGCGGGCGCGCGAAGAGCGCGAGATACTCGTCGACGGTCCGCTCGTGCACGAGGTGGTTCCCGAAGAAGCCCGAGCAGGCGGTGCCGAGGACGACCAGCAGCGTGCCGCGCTTGCGAGAGGGCGTGAGCACCTGCGAGAGGCACGCTGTCGGGTCGGAGGCGGATCGTGCGGCGGGACGGTGCCAACGTCGCGCGGCGGAGGGCGCGCGGGCCACAGCGGCGCCTCGCCGAGCGTAAAGGGCGCGAGCACCACGTTCCAGACAACCACCATCCCCGCCATCGGCGCGATGACGGACTGAGCAGCGAAGGCGTACGCGGATATGTCAAAAATGGGATCGATGACGGCCGTGAAGAACATCCCCAGCGGAATGAACCAGTTGTTCTTCGTGACCGCAGCATGGCGCAGCAATTGCTTCCCACTCGCTCCACCCAGCGTGGCGACGCAGTCGAGGAGGACGCCCACCCACCACAAGTCGTTTGAGCGCGGGAGCGACGGAGCCGCCGCCGCGGTGGTAGCGTTGAGCAGTAACAGGGTTGCATTCTCTAATGGCATTGCTGCTCAGCGCCTCACGCCACGCTGCTGGGCCTTGCCAAGGTTCAGAAGATGAACGCTGCGCCCGGGGGGGCGCGCTCCGAGAAATGGTGTGACGGTTTGTATTTTTGTTTTTTGGTGTGCGTCGATGTGCGGTTGCTGACTGCACGCCAAGTGCTCCAAGTGCGGTTTCCTCTCGCCCGTCGGTCGTTGGTTCAGTCCAGCTCTCTGGGTTGTTGTTTTTCTTGTTCGAGACGATGCTCGAGGCTGTGACCTGTGTCGCCTCAACGTACATCGTACAACACACCCACACTCACACTTACACAAGGTTTTTGGAGAGAGAAGCTGGAGACAATATGGCCTCTCGCTCTCGCCCTCTATTCCTAGCTCTATTCATTCCTTCATACCACGCATCCACACGCTGTGCCTGCAGGATCGGTGTCTACGCACCCCACCGTCACCCGTCACCACCGCGAACACAAGTGTCGATGCGGGCTCGCTTGGCGGGCAGCGCCTCTGCGGCGGACGCGGCTTCGGTGTCGGGCCGTGGCGACGCCGTCGCCGGCGAGGCGGCCTCGCGGAGCGCACGCGCCGCCTTGCAGTGGGGCGGGAGAGGCCGCCACGCGTACGCGGGCAGGGCCGCGAGCTGCGGCAGGTCGGGCGGCGGCTCGAGGGTGACGGGCACGCGGGGCGGCGACTGGAAGAGCGGCTCCTGCTCCATGGCGGCGGCGGCGGCGCGGAGGGCGGCGTAGTCCTTGGCAGCGGTGAGGGCTTTGAAGGTGGCGGACTTGCCGTGCGAGTCGAGCATCTGCAGCGCCACGTACCTACGGACCGGACGGCGGTCGGCGGTCGGTTGTCGGCGGTCGGCGGTCGGCGGCCGTCAGCGGCGGCGGCGGCGGCGGCGGCGGCGCGGTGCGGTGCGGCTGGGCAGGTAGGGTCGTACTTTGTGTTTCCGACGTGGTTGGAGACGGACTCTGCGAGGGAGACGTACCTGAGGGGCGGGGAGGGCGGTGGGGTTCGGAGGGCGGGCGCGAGGCGGCGGGTCTGGTGGCGGGCGGAGCCTCTGGACGAGGGTTGCTTGGCTGGCGAGCCGACCCTCCTGCGCAGCGGGGAAGGCGTGCTGGGGCAGGGGGCGGGGGGGCGGGGCGGCGGGGCGGCGGGGAGACGAGGCGGTCGCGAGAGAGGACCCCGCCCACACAGGCCCTGGCCGCCGCCCTAGCCCTAGCCGCTCGCTCCTCTCGGCCGAAGAGAGACGCGTTCCACAGCGCACCACGCGCCAGCATCAGCCCGTCCGCGCCGGTCTCGTCGAGCGCGCGGCGCGCGTCGTCGAGCGAGAAGAGGTCGCCGTTGAGCAGGAGCGGCAGCGAGGGCGGCAGCGTCTGCCGGATCCGAGTCAGCGCGTCCCACTGCGCCCAGTGCCGGGGCCGGTCCGGCACGCGCCGGCAGTGGACGGCGAGCGCATCCACGCCGCACGAGGCAATCATCCGAGTGAGGTCGAGGGTTGCGGCGGTGGTCTGGCGGGCGGCGGGGCGGGCGGGCGTCACGGGGCGATTGGCGCGCGTGAGAGGCGGCGGCGGCGGCGGCGGCGGCGCCTCGAGCAGCCGGATCTTGCACGTCACTGCGCGGCGGCCGCCGAGGCTGCGGACGAGTGTGGTCAGGATGTCGCGCACCCGCTCGGGCTGGGTGAGCAGGGACGAGCCCATCCCGCCCTGTGTCGAGAACCTCACCGGGCAGCCCATGTTGACGTCCACCGCGCAGACGTCATCCACCACCACGTTGGCCGCCGCGAGCGCGTCCGGGCCAGAGGCGGTGCCGAGCTGAAACGCGACGCGCTCGTGCGGCACCGTCGAGAAGATCAGCTTGCCGTCGGCGTGCCGGTACTCGGCCTCGCCGCGAGCGGAGACGGAGCGGCGGCACGCCGCCACAGACTTGTCGACCAGCTCCTCCGAGTAGAGCAGGTCAGCTCCGTGCTCAGCGCAGAGGAGCCGGAACGGCAGCGTGTTTATTCGCACCATGGGCGCAAGCGCCCACGCGCCGCGGTACTCCCACGGCCGCTCTCCGCCAGCCTCGGAGGTCGCCATACGCCACGCAGGGGAGCGCGTCCGTCTCTCGAGGTTCTCGAGGTGGATATCCTTTGGCCGCGTTGGGTAGCGAGGATTGGTGGCGCGATCCACGCGCGTCCGACTGCCTCAAAGAATTCATCGCAGCAGGCAGACTGGCACGAACTAGCCTGTTTGTGTCTGTGTGTCGCTCATGCGTGTCGTCATCATCTGTCTAGCGTCCACCCATACCGCGTTGGTGTCCAGTCCGAGCCTGGCTGTTCTTCACCTTTCTACCTACCTACCACAAAAGGCCGCGCCATTCGCTCTCACCTGGCAACCCGGTCTCGGGAACCGTACCCATACTACTCAAAAGTACAATATACTACCACAAAGCACCACTAGCGATTTCGCGCGGAGGGCGTAGTGAAGCGCTGGGGCGCTCACTGTGTGTTATTCGGGTGGGGATCCATCAGTGGTAACCGGCTTTAGTCACAGATCCAAGCTCAGACGCCACACCAACACCACAAACACGCTCCTTCGCCGCTGCTGTAGAGGGCCCCCGGGGGCCCATACTACGTCGAAGTACGGACCCGATCTCGGCCCTCACGGGCTGCCACGCGCCCGCGCGCGGCGCGGGCCGCACCGCCCATGCCCCCGGGTCACCGACCCCGCCTCTCGGCCCTCTCGGCCCTCAGGAGCGTGCGGGAGACCGGCGAGGGGCGCGCCGCGCGCCGCCTGCAGAGCCGCCAGAGGCATTGTCGCCTCCGCTGGCGGGGTTCCCGCGCGCCCGCCCGCGCCCGGACCCGCGCCCGCTGCGCCCGCGGGCTCCGGATGCGCCGCCATCCTTCTCCTTCTTCTCGATGGCAGTCCGCCTGTGCTTGTCGACGGGTCGGCGGCGTGGTCGAGGGGAAGGTCGCCGGCGGCCGCAACTCCGCCGCCGTCGCTCCGCCGGCTCTGACCGAGTATCGGGCGTTGAGGGCGGCGGCGCAAGCGGGTCTGGCGCATCTATCGCCACGAGCCTCGCGACCGCGGTCGTGGCACACCTGGCGGCGGCTCTCGAGGCCGTCTCTACGGCGCTCGACGCCGTGTGAGGTCGCCGGCGGCCGCAACTCCGCCGCCGTCGCTCCGCCGGCTCTGACCGAGTATCGGGCGTTGAGGGCGGCGGCGCAAGCGGGTCTGGCGCATCTATCGCCACGAGCCTCGCGACCGCGGTCGTGGCACACCTGGCGGCGGCTCTCGGGGCCGTCTCTACGGCGCTCGACGCCGTGTGAGGTCGCCGGCGGCCGCAACTCTGCCGCCGTCGCTCTGCCGGCTCAACCGAGTATCGGGCGTTGAGGGCGGCGGCGCAAAGCGGGTCTGGTGCGCCACACGGCCACCACCCTTGCCAGCGCCCTTGCCGCCGCCCTTGCCACCCTTTGCCGCCTTGCCTCCGCCGCGGGCGGCGGTGGGAGCGGCCTGCTGGGCTAGCATGTTGTCCTTGCTGGGGACGGGCACGTGGAACGCACGTTACATGTTTGAACGGCCTCCAGAATTCAAACAAAAAATAGCCAAGGCCTTCTCGCAACCCCTCCGACCCCCCGGGACCCGTGGGCGTCGAAGAGGCGCTCTCGGGGGGCCGTTCTGAGTTCATACTACCTCGAAGTACAATATACTGCGTCAAAGCACCGGCCCTGAGTCCGAACCCTGTCTGCACGTCTCGCGCGCGCGTGAACAGGGCTCCAGGCCCCAAATGACGCGTGAGTGTTAGATTTGTTTGGTATTGCTAAAAATCTCTCTCTCTCTCAAAAGGCACAGCTAGAAAGAAATTGCGCCAGCATCCCCGCCAGGTGCACTGTGCAAACTAAGAAGAGGTTCACGGATACTAGAGCTCGCTACGGCGGCTGCCACCCGCACCACCCGCACCCCTCACAAAAAGAGAGGTGCTAGATGCAAGTGATCTGTGTACTATGATGTAGTTGTAGAGGAAGGGCGTAGACTCCTAGAACCTAGTAGCTCTGGGGGGAGGCGGGGGCCCCGGAGGCACCGTGCGCCGTGCAGCAGTGCGGAAACGGGGCTCCGGCTCCGTTAGTCTCCGTTAGCACCGACTTCCCGAATGATCACGGTTGATCAGAGGGCAGATTTGGAGAGATCTCGAGGAGTACATACAGATAGACCCTCTAACCATAAGAAAACTCCGACCTGATCGGTCGTACTGACCGCCGACAGATCACTCCAGACAGCAGACAGGCCGACGCGTCTGCACGCGGCCGGCCGGGCGAGAGGCTTGACACGATCCGACCCTGCGACCCTGATGCTGCTGCTCTAGCTATCAGACATGCATTGCTGACTGCTGCCACAATGTGCGACCTGTGCTGGCCCACTTGGCGGCCTTCCCGGTCAGTGGTGAGGCGCAGTTCAGAGCTGTCGATGGCGCGATGCCGCACTGGTCCCACATCGGTGACACGAGACCACCACGTTTGCCGGTCCAAGAGAGAGGCACCGGCGAGCTGTCCTGAGAAGGTGCATGGTCCCTCTTGACTGCCCATTAGCACGAGGCTGTGTAGGCATAGCCTCGAGAGTGCCAGCAGCCAATCCGAGGCAGTTTGTGACGCGCATTGCGTCAGAAGCGTGCACGCGCTGGAAGGACACCTTCCTACTGGCCGTACGATCAGGTCGTCACTGAATGCCGAAGACTAAGGCCGCGAGCTATGCAGGTGATCAATTGTGCAGCATGGCACGGTCAGCAGCGCCGAAAGGATGTCGCAAGGCGTGATAGCATGGCCGCAAGTTCGCCGAATTCCGCAACAAGTAAAAAATCGCGCCAAAAAAGGAAAAATCCAAAAAATCGGCGCCTGCGGCGGGCTGGGGGACCCCATCTCCCCCCCGCATGGGTACCCCCTTGGGCCCTCGCCTTCCCCCCAGAGCCTAGTGAGCTCTACAGCAGCGGCTGCCGCCAACGCGTCGCGTGACGATTCGGGCGGTGCGCGTTCCAGAGCGTAACATCGCCATGCGTATCGCGGTCGCAAGGCAAACCGAGGGCGCGAGGGCCCCGCCACGACGCCTCTGAGCTTCGTCCTCCTTATACCGGAATACCGCCAGCGCACCTCAGTGCGCGGCGCGCTAATTCACCCGACTAATACGGCCGCGTCGGGCCCGTCCCAATTGCTCCGCACTTCGCAAGTGCCAGCCCCGGGGATCGCCCGCCCTGGCGGCGTCCAGTCACCCAAAGAGCGCGACGATCTGATCGAGCTTGCCCTTCTCGTCCGCCTCGGCGGACGCCTCGCCGTCGGCGCCGCCGCCACCGCCACCTCCCGCCGCCGCCGAGGCCGCAGCCACTTCCGCTAGCCTCTCCTTGGCGAGATCGACGGGCGTCTTGCCGTCCAGCCTATCCTTGGCGGCAGTCACCTCTGACGTCTTGCCGTCCTTCTTGGCTTGCATCAGGATGATCTCCACCATCTCCTTGTCCGCCTGCAGTTTCGCGGCCCAATTTGCTGGCTGCGAGCGCTAATAATGTGCGCTACCCCTCTCCCTCTCTCTCTCTCGATACAATACATGCATTATGTCCTCTCCTCTTCTCTCCTCTCCTCTCGTCACTCCCTCCCCTCTCCTGCTCTCGTGCTGTCCTGCTCCCCTGCTCCCCTGCTCTCCTGCTCTCTACTTCTCTCCTCTGCTGCTCTCTGCTGCTGTCCTCTTTTTCTCCGCAGCAAGTGCACCTGCGGCTTTAAGCTGCCCCAGCACGCAATGTGCAGCGGCGTCCACCCCCGCATCGTATCACCCGCCGCGGCATAGTCAGCCCCGTTCTTGAGCTGGTCCTTCACCTTGCTGAGCTCCCCCCTCCTCACACAGCCGCGCAGCTCGCAGCCGCCCATCCGACAGCCACACGCGTGTGAGGACTCCTGCTCCAGCGTCGGTTTCAACAGGCCAGGAGCCGGGTTTTTGTATTTTTTCATCCTTGATTCTGGGTATCGTTTGTGCCGCGTCCCGTGCCCCCGAGTTCATTTTAACCACAAAGAGAGAGCCTCTCTCTCTCCAACGCGGTATGGGTAGACCTCGAGGGGTGGGCGCGGGACAGGAGATGACGGCACGCTGGAGCGACACACAGACACAGAAACTCACAAGACAGCGGCCAGCTGGGCTGCTTCACATCCCGAGTGAGCGTACGGCACTGCACAGCAGGGGAACGGGTGTGGGGAGCGCATCGCGACTTTTGGAGACGAGTTTGAGAAAGCAACAAAATTCTTTTTGTCTTCGACGGCGCTGTGCTCCTTTTGGTACCTTTGTCGAACGCGGCATGTTTCAATTCTTTTTGTCCTGACGCCCCTTGTCTCTCAGAACGCCATCGCCCTTCCGCCGCCGATGCCGATCAACTACTCCAAGTGGGACAATCTCGAGCTCTCTGATGACGAGGAGCACTTCCACCCAAACATCGACAATAACCTGATGATCCGCCTGCAGCGCGAGAAGCGCCAGCAGCGCGAGGCGGAGGAGGAGAAGAAGAAGCAGGAGCTGCTCGCCAAAGGCACGCCTGATGCGCTGGAGGAGATGGAGAAGCTCGAGCGGATGAAGAAGCTGCACGTGGGCAACATCTGCCACGACAAGTACAGCTCCAAGCACGAGGCGAGCAAGCCGTCTTCGTCGGCCGAGGCGCCGCAGGCCGCGAAGGACACCAAGCTGCGGGTGGCGGCGACCGAGCCGGAGAGCTTTACGGACGGGTACGAGGAGTTCCTCAGGTCGCACACCGCGACGCTCGAGGAGTACGCCGCCATCGACGACGAGGACGAGAAGTCGGAGGCGTACATCCTCTCGCACACGGAGCTCCTCTCGGAGCACGCCACCGGCTACTACCTCCTCCAGTGCATCAGCCTGCAGGCGCGCCGCCGGCCCGCACGCGCGCCCTCCGAGGCCGGCGCCGGCTCCGCGGCTCGCCCGCCCACGCCCGCCGCCGCCGCCGCGCCCCCGCAGGCCGAGGGCAAGACGCGCAGCATGAAGAAGATGGCGCGCCAGTACCTGCTGCTCACCTATGTGTGCGACCTCGCGAAGACGATGCCGGGGCGCGACGCGCGCGACGCGATCCGGCCGCTCTTCCGCAAGATGGAGGCGCGCGCGGCCAAGCGCCGCCCAACCACGCCCCGCCTCCCCTCGCGCCGCGCGGCAGGCGTCGGCAGGGGAGGTCCTCCGCCGTCGTCGCCGCCGCCTCCCTCGCCACCACCGCCCTCGCCGCCGCCACCCTCGCCGCCACCCCCCTCGCCGCCGCCACCCTCACCGCCACCGCCCAGCCCGCCTCCGCCAAGCCCGCCGCCACCCTCGCCCCTGTGACGTGTCGACGGCAGGCGTCGGCAGAGTCGCGGGAGGCGTTTGCGGACCACCTCGAGAAGTACACTGCGCACGTCAAGACCCGCGCCGAGGTGAAGAAGAAGGAGGACGCGGAGCGGGCGGCGCGCGGCGGCGACGAGGAGTACGAGTACGTGCCGCTCGAGAAGGGCGAGCAGCTGGGCCCGGGCGGGCTCGACCCGGCGGAGGTGTTCGAGTCGCTGCCGCGCGAGATGCAAGAGGCGTTTGGCGACCGCGACATCGACGCGCTCAAGCGGATCCTGCAGGCGCCCGCCGACCCCCCCCCCCCCCCTCTCCCTCCCTCGCTCCCTCGCTCCTTCGGAGCAGGGCCTGGCCTGCGCCTGCGGGCCTGGCCTGCGCCTGCGGGCCAGCCCTGGTGACCATGCGATGCACCCCGACGAGGTTCGGGTTGGGGTGGCGGGGTTGACCGTACCGTACCTCCCTCAGGCGATGGACCCCGACGAGGCGTCGCGCCACATGAAGCGCTGCGTCGACTCGGGTCTGTGGAACCCGACGGGCGGCGAGGGCTCGCCGGACGACGACGAGGCGGAGGCCGAGGGGCGCGCAAAGCCCTCTGAGGTGGACTCGTCGCCCAGCGCCGAAGTGGATGACTGAGCAGCCGCCTATGCCGGCGAAGGATGAGTACGCATGCACGCGCGGCGACTCGATGACGTGACGCGATTCGCTCCCTCTCGGCGAGCGCGAGTGACGTCACCGCTGCTACATCACACAGTGGGTAAAGAGCGCGCGGATTCGCGGAGACTCCGCTGGCCTCCAGAGACTCGGCTCGAGTGCCCCTCTTGTGATACGATAGCGTAGGCGCACGTGGGGGAGTGCGGAGTTTACGTGTGGCGTGCCGGATGCGCGGATAATGTATGTAGAATGGAGAGGGCAACGAATTTCGACGTTTTTTTGCGTCACCGTCCCCAAGAGACCAAGTGAGAAGTGTGGGGTCAGGCGTCAGGGAAACGAAGTGTATACACAGCGAGAGAGCGGAGAGAGGGCGGGAAACGACACTCGACAGTCGCGTGCTCCCGACACCACAAATGGTTGGGTACTAAAATAACGTATAGTAGGGGTAGAGGGCTGCCCAAAACTTAGACCTGCTCGCAGGCAAGCGCTGAACTTAGCCCCCGGAAGGAGACGGGCTCAAACGCTTGTACGGCTCTAGACTGCTGGTGATCGGAGCTCACGAAGTTAGACGACCGGGACACGAGGCGGCCATGAGGTGGCCAGTTCCGGGTCTCTGCCGACGTGACCAGGTGTCCGGCCCCCCCGGCCTGCGGCGGTCTGCTAAAAGTGTAAACCTGGATAAAGTTTGCACGATCTCATGGGTCAAAAACCTACAAGCGCCATCGCCACTTGCCGCGCACGCCCTCCTCTCAGCCCCCGTGGCCGTGCGCAAAGTTGCGACGCACGCCACTTGTATCGATGACACAACGGCTGCCATCGCCGCCGGCGCGCCGCCGCAGGCGAAGTCAAGAAGAAAATTTTGAGCCAACGCTAATGATCACGGCCGACTTAGCCCGCATAAGAAGCTCCCGCCAATCTCAGACCGCGTAAGCACCCCAGCGTGACGCGTCACACACTTAGACCCGTTAAGCCTCGAGGCTCAGAACGTAGCCTACTACCCAACCAGTACACCACACACCAGCGGATACACGCAGCGCGCGGGAAAGCGTGGTAGAGTCTGGTAGCGGTCGGGAAGCCCGCACACGTAACACACGCGGAACACTAGGAGCTCAAACCCGACTCGAGAGTGCGCAGTTCTCACCACTCACCACACATACGGCTTATGTGAGCAAGAACGCCTGAAGGACGAACGAGATCGTGGAGACACCACGGACGTGTCCTAAACTTCCCGCTAATCGAAACGCGTCCTGAACGCGTCCCTCCAGAACGCGTCCGCTGTGAAGAGAGAGAGAGAGAGAGAGAAGAAAATGAAAAACCTGAAAATTGAGCATTTCCTACTCTATGAGCTGAGCAACGGCAGGACCTCGTGGCGTGCCTCGGGGGGGGCTGTGAAACGCCCTGAAAAACACGGGCGCGGCGTGAGTGTGGGTGTGGTCCGCTCGAGCGGTGGTCCGGGAGGATTGAAGACCCCTATCAATTTTGCATTAGTTTTGGAGTGGTGGAGGAGTGCGCCCTGTATCTAGATACCACACTTTACGAACGGGCGGGAGTGCCCAACCAACCAACTAACGGAATCTACCGGAGCGGTACCCGGCCCGCGCCCCGCGGGACCAGGCCGAACATTGTAGATGTGGACGACACGTATTGGGCTCACACGACATGCCAACCCGTAGACCTCACGCACATATAACATAGAGCGGCGCCAACATACCCTTTCGGCGGCGCCACGCCCTAGCGCCACCCTAGAGACGCTAGCCTAGACGTGCGCCACCCTAGACGCCACCCGCGGAGTATCTCGGAGTGCCCCAGATAAGCTTCTCTCAGGGGACCCCGGGCCGTCCGCGCACAGTCCACAAAACCCTCATGATGACATGTGTGTTGCACCACTTCCGGCGCTCCTGCTGATCTCCCGCGCGCCCTATTTTGGCGCTCTGATCTCGAGTGCTACCCTTAGCTTTGCAGCTCCCGGTGATCTTGACAGCATATCCCTCTCAGGCCTATGATCCTCAGCGCCTCTACTTCAAACCGGCTCTGATCCTATGGCTATGCGTGCCCCCTCCAGGTCTACTGATCCCACAGACCCTGCTGTGGGTGCTTGATCCTGAGGCGCGCCCCCGCCGTGCTGGTCCTGAGAGGGTATCTGTGATCCAGGCAGGCAGGGGTGTCTGTCTACGTGCGAGTGCTCTCCTCATTACGAGAGAGTGTGATTACGTTTACAGATACTCGCAAGCCGCAAGCGAATTATAATTCTTCCTTGCGGCTTGCGAGTATCTGTAAACGTAAACTCGCCGCGAAAGGCCGCGGGGACGTCGTCCGGTGTCGCGGTGTGGCCTCGGGGTTAATCATGTGGAGCTCGAGCATCCTCCTCCTCGCACTCGGCGCCAGCGCGAGCAAAACGGAATGGGCAATCGTCAACCTCATCCGCCACGGCGAAAGGACGGACAACAAAACCAACATTGGGCTGTCTCCCCACGGGAAGCTGCGAGCTAAATACATCGGAAAATGCGTGGCGCAAAACGAGCCGAGCTTTGCCTTCCCGTTGGGCCCGCCCACGCACATGCTGGCGAGCCGGCGGCTAGGACCCGATGGCAAGTCCAAGTCCGACCGACCCCACGACACCATCAAGCCGCTCGCCGACAAGCTCGGCCTTATTATGAGTAACGATATTGACATGGCCGACACGGAGCGCTTCATCAAGTACGTGCTAGCACTGCCGGCAGGTGCGACGGCCTTCATATCCTGGCAGCACTGGTGGATCACCTGGCTGCTAAAGACCTTCGCGCCCAATGCGCCTCCGTTCCCGTCCAAGTGTCCTTACAGTCAATGGGCGGATCTGCCCGAGTACACACACGGCGCGTGCTACGACTTGGTGTTCCAGCTCGTTCTTAAGCGGTACTCCCCCGAGGACGACTGGCACGCGACAGCCTTCTCGCTGATGCACATGGGCTTTGACGGAACCGAAGACTCGGAGTGCTCCTCGGCTCTGGGCCCGAACACAAACCCGACCGGCTGGCACCAATCGCCTGCAAAGCCCGGTACGGTCAACCTCCCTGAAGAGCACGGTTCGGTCTCAACGTGCGATACCTGGTGCGACCCGGCCATCCAGCAGCCGGGGAAGCCGCCGTCTCACTGCATTGCAAGCTCCTGCAGCAAGTGCTCGTGGTGTTCAGGGATGCCTGCCGCCCTCGCGGCCGCTCCAGGGCTTCGCCTTTCGATGATGGAGTCGTTTGAGCTTGAGGATGAGGACCGAGCGGCTGTCCCGACCAGCGGTAGCAGTGCCGGTCCCGGTCACTGGTCGGCGATCCATTACTTCCATTACTTCCTCGAGGCGGTGGGCTGTGCGGCCCTAGTGGCTGCAGGTGCAGCGCTCGTGCTTCCGGCTCGCGTCAAGGCGCTCGTGGCGACACGGCTCGACCAGGCCGACAAGGAGGAAGAGAGGCCGTACATTGCCGCACCGGCCTGAGCAGGCGCAGCCGAGAGGGCGATTGAACGCAAGGTGGACGGCCCGAGTGGCTTGATCTTGATCGGGGGCAGCAGGTGGCTGCGAGCGGGGGAGCCCCTGTTCATGTACGTACGTGTCACTGCGAGATCTGTGTGTCAGTGGCGTGGCCGTGGGAAGCGCGGCTGCGAGCGGGGGGGCCCTGCAGCGCCTCCCCAGAGGGCAGAGAGGTGAAGTAGGGGTCCTCCACCGTGCGTGAGATTGATTTGTGCGGTGAGCCGGTGACCCAGTACGCAGACCGTGGGATATCCGTGTGTGTGTGCCCGCCCGAATAAAGGAGAGTGAGAACACAGCACTTATGTGGGTGTAATATAAAGAAAGGTGCACCGGGAGAGAGTCTCGGAGAGAGAGATACAGTGCTTGCCATACCTCGGTCTTTGCGCTCTTTTTTCCTCCTCTCCAGAAATCATAAATGCACACAGGGTTTGCCTCTCGCGCAGAACCCCCAGAGATGAAGGCACAGAGGCATGGGCTGGTGCGCATCACACACCACGGCCAAAGACTTCTCTAGTGGCAGCGAGATACATCCTCATCACGGAATCGCCGCGCCCCCAAAACGGGCCGCCACCGCTGCCCTCACTGGGTGTGGCCCGAGCGCACACGTTGCTCGACTACGCGGCACTGCGTCTTGTCGGCAAAGCAAATCGGGCAGTGGCCCTTGGACTCGATGCACTGCTGCAAGCACGTCTTATGGAAGTGGTAGCCTGCACGCGTCAGGGGCAGGCAGCGGATCAGGGCGGCGGGGCGTCGGGGGAAGTGGTGGAGGGGCGGGCGCGGGCGCACCGCAACACGATGTCCGAATCGCGCTGAAGGCAGACGAGTACTCCTCCAAACAGACGGCGCACTCCGAGTTCGCCAGCGCAGCCATTCGCTGCGCCTGCTGCTCGATGAGGCGCGGCTCGAGGACAGCCCACTGGTCGAGCAGCAGCCGGAGCGATCGCTGCAGCTTAGGCTTGGAGCCAAGCAGCATCAGCTGATCGCCGTCGACCGGCAGCGAACGTGCGGCCCGCTCCTCGATCTCCTGCACGCGGCGCAGCTTCTTCTGGATGGCGCGGATCTTCTTCTCGATGCCGAGCGGGTCCGCCTCTGCAACCTCGGCGAGGAGGGCCTCGTCGTCCTCCAGCGGCGCGAGCGACATCGACTCGAGCGACAGGACCCGGCCCGGCAGCCGCGCGGGGGCTGCACCCCGCCCGAGCGCCGCGCCGCCGGCCCCGGGCGCGCCCGCGCTGCTAACCCCGCCAGGGGCGCCCCGCGCGCCAGAGCCAATGGCCCCGAAGCGGCCCGACGCCGACTGCGCGCGCTCGACGGGCTGGTTGCCTCCCTGCGGCCGGAACTCGGCGCCGCCCAGACCGCCCAAAAGCCCGCCCAAGCCGCCACCGGTGTCAAAGCCACCAAACCCGCCAAGCGGTCCGGCCGGCGGGGCGGCCCCGCGCCCGGGTGGCGGCGGCAGCGGCGGCGGAAGGCCCTCGGGAGAGTCGTCCTCGTATTGCTGCGGCCGCGAGCGCGGCCGTGGCGGCGGCAGCGGGGGGGGAAGGCCCTCCTCGGCGAGTGCAGCCGTGATCGAGGCGGCCGCAAACTCGTCGTCAGCGGCGGCTGCGTCCACCGCCTCGAGGTGCAGAGAAGCGTCCTCCGGCGCACCCGCGCCGCCGTCCGCGTCGTCGTCGCAGGGAGGCGGCGGCGGCGGCGGCGGCAAGTGCTCGACCGGCGCGGCGGCGTCCTTTGGCCGGGTCCTCAGCTTGACAGACTCCTGGCCGGCGGGGCCGTCGGTGTCAAGGATGAACGCGTCCGAGTGGAGCGTGAGCCATGACTTGGCTCCGCCCGCGTTGCGGATCTCCTCCTTGAAGCTGGCGGAGCGCTCGTAGAGCGCCGAGATGAGGGAGGAGAGGCGCATGGCCTTTGGAGAGGCGCCGTTGCCGCCGCCGAGCACGCTGACCGCCACGTCGAGCAGCGAGCACCCGCCACCACCAGAGTGGACCGCCCCGGCCTCTCCGTTCCTCGCCACAGCGCCCGCGCCTTTGCCGTTTTTGCCGCCCTTTTTGGGAGGGGGCAGCTCGGGCTCGGGCGACGGCGGGCGCTCCACAGACGCCGCGCCCTCTGCGGCGCCCTTCTTCTTCTTCTTCTTCTTCTTCCCCCCCTCGCCCGCGTCATCGCCGCCCGCGTCGTCCCTCGCGCCCTCGGCCGCGGCGCCCGTCCCATTGGCATTCGCGGCAGCGCTGCCGGCGGCCGACGCCTTCTGCTCGGCCTTCTCCGCCTTCTTGGCCTTCTTCGATTTGGACTTTCCGCCGCCCTTGGCAGACGCCGCAGCCAACTCCTCCTCCGCAAGCAGCTCGTCGAGCAAGCCCATCCGCAGCTTCTCCACCTCTGCCAGGAGCAGCGCGCGGACCGACTCGTCGACAGCGAAGTCGAGCGGCTCGCGCCCGTCGGGGCAGCGCATCCGCACCTGCGCGCCGTGCTCGAGCAGCGTGTGCACCGAGGCGCAGCCGCCGGACTGCGCCGCCACGCAGAGCACCGTCTTGCCGTCCTCGTCGACGGCGTTGACGTTCGTGCCCATGCCGAGGAGCAGCTCCATCGCCTCGGCGTGCCCGTCGCGCGCCGCATTGCGCAGCGCCGCCTCGCCGTGCTCCGACTTTGCGTCGGCACCCGCCGCGAGGAGCGTGCGCAGCACCCGCGTCCTCTGCTCTGCCGACCCAGCGGCGTGGGCGAGGCCGGCGCGCGCGAGCGCCGAGCGCTGCGCCGAGTCCATCCGCACCATCGCCGTGCCGCCCTTGCCGGTGGCGAGGAGCCGCTCCACGCGCTCGGCGTCGCCGCGTGCCGAGAAAGCTCGCACGAGCGGCTGGGCCTGCGACGCGGCGCAGCGGCCCTTCCAGCGCAGGAGCAGCAGCTCCATCGCCTCGTCGTTGTTGAAATCGCACGCCTCGGCGAGCGCGAGCCCCACCGCCTCCAGGTCGAGCGCGCCCTCCGTGTCGTGCAGCGACAGGTCGAGCAGCATCGCCACGACGGCGGCCGACGAGTGGCCGGCGGCGACCTGCGGGCGGGGAGCGGCGCCGCTGAGCGGGAGGAGCAGGAGGGCGGGAGGAGGGGGGGGAGGGGGGGGGGGGCATTCGCCTTGAGCAGCGAGGCCGCCTCGGATCCGAGCGGGCCGACGTACCGCACCATCTCTGCGGCCACCCGCTCGGTGAGAGGCTGCTTGCCCTTCTTTTGCAGCGCCGTCTCGAGCAGCAGCGACACGTGCTGCGCGGAGATTGCGCCCGATCCGAGGAGGAGCGAGAGCAGCTCGTGCCGCCCGTGCAGCGCCATCGCGTGCAGCGCCTTGTACGACGCCATCGACACGGCCTGGAGCGCCCCCGAGGAGGCCAGCCTGCGGGGGAAGACGAGGCGGCCGTCAGCGAGGAGGCGGGCGGAGAGGGCGGCGCCGCCAGCGAGGGCTTTATGCCGCGAGAGGTGCAGGGCGGGCATGAGGCAGAGCAGCAAATCGGGCGACGGCGCGCGCGCGGCCATCTCAAGGAGCGTCTGCTTCTTGGTGGGGTGCTGCCACAGCAGCGGGTGCCTACGGCGGACCTCGCCCTCCGCCTCAGACGACTCGAGGGAGCCGCGGCGGCGGGCGCGAGGCGCGGCGCGCGTCTTTGCGTCGTAAGACAAGCGCAGCGTCAGCAGCGCGGCAACCGCGACGCCCTCGGGAGTGAGGGCGTCGACGACGGCGTCGTACAGCCAGCGGTGGCCCTCGTCGGCGAGGAGGACCTTCGGAGCGGAGGCGGGGCGCTCAAGAGGGGCGGGAGTGCGGGCGCAGCGGGCGCAGGAGGGAGCCGCGCCAGTGCGCCCGTCGCCTCGGAGAAGGAAGCGACGGGGGCGCAGCAGTCCACGCGCGCGCGCAGCAGGTACTGGACGACCCTGCGAGCGGAGGCGCCGGCCGCGTCTCGCGCGACGGGGGCAGGAGAGGGGCAGGGGGGGGAGGGGGGGGAGGGGGGGGGGGGGGCGGGCAAGGGGCGGCCCGGCCCGGCCCGGAAAGGCGGAGGGCGGGGAGAGGGTCGAGGCGGGGAGCAGCCCGATGCATGGCGCGGTGAGGAAAGGCGCGCCCATGCGTCAGCCCAATCACGGCCACGTCGTTCGAGTGCAGGAGCGTGCCGCAGAGCCGGAGCGCCGAGTTGGGGCGCAGGGTGCACGCCATGCAGTGGCAGGGCGAGGCCGAGGTGCCGCCGCCGCAGCAGCGCGCGGCGGCGCGGTGGTCTCCGATCTCGGTGTCGATGGCGTGCATGATTGGCTCGCGCGAGGCGAGCGAGTGTGAGGGCTCGTCGTCCGCGGGCGGGTCCTTCCCGCCGCCTGCGGGGCGCGCGAGGCCGAGGGGCGGGCGGTGAGGCGAGCGGGGGGAGCGGGAGGGCAGGGCGAGGGAGTGGGGCGAGGAGAAAAAGAGCGGGGAGGGGCGGGGGGAGGGCGCGGAGGGCGTGTTCCAGCGCCCGGCTGTGCGCTGCACGCAACGGCGCAGGCCCGGCGGCCGACGCACTCGCCGGTGCGGGAGAGGAGGGCAGTGTGTGCCGCGGCGGCGGTGTGGGGCGACGGTGCGGGGCGCCCGCGCCTCCACCCCCGGAGCCGGCGGTGGCGGAGGCCACCGGCGCGAGCGTCTCCACGAGGTTCTCGAGCAGCTGGTGCAGCCGCGAGAATCCCTGCGATGGCAGCCGCCCCGCCACCTCGATCGTGGAGAGGTGCGAGACGCCGACGTCGACGAGGCGCGCGCAGCAGTCCGGCTCTATCGTGCGGCCGGCGACGAGGAAGCGGAGGCCGGTCGGGGGCACGGCGCGGCCTCGCAGGAGCGGCGCCACCCACCCCTCCCAAAAGGAGCGCACCGTCGTCGAGCCCGGGCAGTACACGCTCCGCGGCGGCTTGAGCGGGTCGGAGAGCCGCACGAAGAGCAGCAGCGTCTCCGACCCGCCGGCCGCCGAGGGGGCCGCGGCAGTTGACGTGGACGGGCCCGCGTCGCCCTTGCTGCCAAAGAAGGGCAGGCTGGCAGCCATCCTGGCAGCGGAGCGCCCTCAGGCTTACTCGAGGCCGGCTCACCACGCTTCGTTGGAACCACTGGTATTTCTTTTTTGTACTACCTTACAACTCCCTCCCTCGCTAGTGTGTTCATTGGGGGGGGGGGGGGGGTCATAACAAACAAACACGGTATACAACAGGATCGAGGTGCACGCTGCTGAAGCAAGCAGTGTCGTCCGCTCGTCCCCGCTCTCCATCATCTCACAGGGAGACGTCGGCGGTGGTGGGCTGGTGGCTGGTGGCGGTGTGACCGATCGAGCTACAAGAGGAACTTGTTCGGCATGCATGATCAGGGTGAGCCGAGCAGTTCGCTCACTGGCCGCTCGGTCTACTTGCGCTGTGGCAGCCTAGGTGGCAGCTCCCGCAGCATCCAGGGCCGGGCGCGGGGGCAGAAGGCGTCGAGCTGGACGGGCAGCTCGGCGGCGGCCAGCTGGCCTGCGGGTGCGAGTCGATGAACTCGGCGACGCGCCGGCGCCGCCGACAGCAGCTCTACACAGCGCTCTGACAGCGCTCTACACTCTACATGCTCTACACCCCCCCTCAGCATAAGAGGGCGGCGGCAGCCAGCACCGCAGCACCGTCGGGGACCACTGAGCGCGCAGCTGGAGTCACGGTCGACCCTCATCAACCCACCAAACAAGAAGAATCTCGGCGTTGCTAGGTCGGCGCAAACCAAAGGCTGCGCGCAATGTCCATCCAGTGAATGATTTGCACACACCGTATTTTAAAGCCGTCCGTTTCAGGTGACAAGTTCCTCAACAATCACAACAAACGTGCAAAGATACGCTCAGTGCTCGAGTTCGGGATGAAGGCCTCTGAGGGAGGGTGTAGAGGATGTAGAGTGTAGAGCACTGTAGAGCTGTAGAGATGTAGAGCGCTGGAGAGCGCTGTAGAGCTGTAGAGCTCTACATCCGCCGCGTGACGAACTGCGTGCGTTGTAGAGCGATGTAGAGCGCGATTTTGCTGTAGAGTTTGTTGTAGAGGCTCTACAGCCAAACCGCCGGGAAGGCAGTGACTCAAAGAGGTCGAGCCGCGCTAATGGGGTGTCTCCGAGCTTACTGGAGCTCTGATGGACGGCCCTGACTATCCCTGACACACAGAGAGTCACTCTGACGGCACATAACACCCTATAACTGCGTCATGACCAGCCTGCCATGTGTCGCCGGTGCCGCATTCGTCGCTGTGCTTCTTTAGCAGGCGGTGGACTGTCGGCTGCGAGGACGGTCGCATTTGCACGAGGCGAGGCGAGCATTCAGGCGCGTTGCATGCGCCATGCCTCGCGCCAGCGCGTGCGGGAGCTCCTGGCTGAGCGTTGAGTCCAGGCGAGTTGCGCTGGCCACTATCGCTACGCCGAGCCGAGCTGACGCGCCGAGGCGCCGGCCAGTCGCAGCCGTGAGGCATGCCACAGCAGCAGAGGCACCTGCCACCCATTGGGCGGGCAGACAGAAGGCCAGGGCAGCACTGGCAAGTGCAACGCGCCTCATGTCGGAGAGCGACCGTGCCTCGTTCGCCGCTTATGATGTAGAGTTTGTTGTGACTGTGATCTGTGAGGGTCCGCCCGCAGGCGCATTTTGTATACCGAGGCGGTGCCCGGTGCCGAGCGCAGGCACAGAGCCCACAGGTCGGACCTTAAGACAGCGTTGTAGATCCCTGGGCGAGGCAGGGTGGTGGAGAGGGCGGTCCGGCGGCGGAGCAACCACCTCCTCCCGACGTGTCGGCACAGGCAGGATGTCATCCCCCGTGATCCAGACCGCCCCGTTGGAGGTAGGCCGCTCGTCTAGCCAATCAGCCTTTTAAGCGAGCGGCCTGGCCGTTGGAATGGCCGGGGTGGAGAGAGGGGCGGGGCCTCAATGACCTAGTTGCCCGGCCGGGCGTTCGGACTCTTCCCGTGCGGGGCCTCGGCGTCCTAGTAATCCGGCCGGCCGTTCGGTCTCTTCCCCGTGAGTCCCCCTCTCGCCGGGTTGTAGTATGTAGACGTGTGCCGCTGGGATCAAGCCAGTACGCCCGAGGGCGACGGTCCCCCGGTAGTAGACGTTGGCGCCGAGGAGTTTGTAGAGATTTCACGTTGTAGAGCGCCTCTACATCGCTCTACAACGCACGCAGTTCGTCCCACGGCTGATGTAGAGCTCTACAGCTCTACAGCGCTCTACAGCGCTCTCCAGCGCTCTACATCTCTACAGCTCTACAGCGCTCTACACTCTACATCCTCTACACCCTCCCTCAGGAAGGCCTTCGGCGGCAACCCCAACGCGCCCGGCACCGAGGACGGCGCCCGAGGTGCCATCTTCGTCGTCGCCTCGACGATCCTCGTCACCTGCCGGCCGAGCGGCTCGCCGCGCTACACGACCGACCAGATGGTTGAGCGCGCCGCCACCATCGCCCACTCGCCCGACGGCTTCCTGGCCCTCTGGAAAGAACTGGCACTCTCCGCCTCCGTCCCGCCCACCCCACTGGAGCAGGGCGACGCTGCCGACTCGCCGGGCCCCTCGCAGCCTTCCATGGAACAGATGGTCAATAGGGCCCACTACTACGCGAACCGGGGCGAGTTCGGCAAGGCGTGGGCGGCCTTCTCGCCCTCCACGCCCGCTGACGGCCGCGACGCCAAGGTTGTCGCCAACTACCTCGGCAAGACGCCGCAAGCGCGGGCCCCGCTTGCCAGTGTCACCGCCGACGAACCAGGCGCCGCGCGGTACGACCTGAAGAGAAAGTCGTTCAACAAGTTCGCAAAGTCTTTGCCTCGCGCCCAAAAGGGCGGCCCGACCCAAGTCGACTACGAGCTCGTCCGCATCATCACCGAGTCGACCGACGGGGCGGACTGCCTCTTCAACTTCTGCACCTCCTTTAGCTGGGGTGTCATGCACGAGCGTCTCAAGCGGCTTGAGGACGACCTCAACGCCGTCTGCCTCTGGAACGAAGGACGATGGCGTCAGCTGCAGGCCCCTCGGGCTCTGCAGCATCTTCACGCGCTCAGCCGAACGGTGCATCGCGCTCCAGGAGCGCGACTGGGCGGAGCAGTTCTGCACCACGCAGCTTCCTGAGGTTGCCAAGGTCAGGGCGGAGGCACTCGAGGACGCGCCACCGTCACCACCGCCACCGCAGAAGCCGCGTACACTTCGAGGTGCATCACGCACGGACACGGCTCGGCCGAGGCGACGGCCGCTCTCGCCGACCTCGAGGCGGCCGAGGCGGCGGAGGTGCGCGCCCGTGCGCCTGTCAACTTCCCAAAGAACTACGCGTTCTACAAGAACGGCACTCACCTGTACGCCCACACACCGTCGCGGGGTGGCACGGCACGAAGCCGGAGAACGCGACCATCTCGCTTCTCGGGTGACAAGGAGAACTTTTACAACACGATCGCGCAGGCGCTCACGGCCGACAACAAGCCTGACCCCAACGGCTGTGGGCGCGTCAAGCTCCTCGACTGGATCCGCAAGCGACGCCCTGACCTCCTACCCGTCGCTCGCCTCATCATGGGCACGCCCAGCTTCATCCGCCTTGTCAAGGCCGAGGGCGCCTTGCGGCTGCCTTCCGCCGACGGCGATGACCTGGGCTTCTCCGCCGCGCCGATTGGGACCCGCTCTCCCTCGAGTGCCCCGACTACAACGACCCCAACTACGCCAAGTCCGCCTGCGGGGTCATCCAGGGACGTGCGCTGTCCACCATCCTCAGCGTCTGCTTCCTCCACGAGATCTGCCACTCCGTCAGGACACTGCTACGTCAAGGCGCATCGCGGTTTCTACCACGACGCGATCTTTGTCAAGCGCAACAACTTCAACCTGCTCTGCTGCTCCACGAGACGTTCGGCGGCGGCTTCTCGCCCACCGCTGTCCTCAAGCTGCGCCGCCTCGCGCGCAAGGTCGCGCGCGGCAGCGTCGACCGCACGGCCTACTCGCCCAAGTACGCGCTCTCTTTTATGTCCCCACCATGCAGAGCGCATCTCTCTCTCTCTGTTGTGCGAGGCGTGAACCGCGCCATTCGCTCTCACCTGGCAACCCTGTCTGCACGTCTCGCGCGCGCGTGAACAGGGCTCCAGGCCCCAAATGATGTGTGAGTGTTAGAGTTGTTTGTTTGTTTGTTTGGTTGGTATTTATTGCAAAAATCTCTCACTTTGACACTCACTGTTCGAAATTTACAATGAAACTCCTCTCACGACACTAGGCACGGGAGTGGCGCGAATTGGCACAAAGAGTGTCGCGCAGGGCTCAACGGTAAATACACTAGAGGAGAAAAAGAAAACGACTTTCGGTCGTATCCAGGTAACTTCTGCCTAGCGGCGAAGCATGCTGGGCTTGATCTCGCTGACCAGCAGCGGTGCGCTGCTTGCGGACCCCGTGGCTTTGCCCTCCTGCCGTGGGGCAACGCGCTCGCCCCCGTCGCTCGTGCTGCTCGCTGCGCCCGCGCCCAACCGGCGCGATGCGCTCGCTGGCGCGGCCCTCGCGGGCGCTTCGCTCGCGGCGACGCCAACTAGTGCGCAGGCCGCAGCCAAGGCGCCCACGTGGGCGCCGGTTCAGCTTCCGCTCGCAACCGAGGCGCCCATTCTCTTCGACATCGAGTTCGACGAGGCCAACCCGAAGAACGGCTTCATCGTGGGCAACAAGGGCACCTTCCTGCAGACCACGGATGGCGGCAGCTCCTGGCAGGCCAAGTCGTTCGCCAACCTGGACCCGGACGAGGAGATCAACTACCGCTTCACAAAGATGAGCTTCCGTGACGGCGAGGGCTGGATCATCGGCAAGCCCGCCATCCTGCTGCACACCCGCGACTCGGGCGCCTCGTGGGAGCGCGTGCCGCTCTCGCCAAAGCTGCCCGGCGACCCGTACAACGTGGTGGCGCTCGGGCCGGGCAAGGCGGAGATGTCCACCTCGGCAGGCGCCATCTACACCACCGACAACTCTGGCCGCAACTGGAAGGCCCAGGTGCGCGAGACGATTGACGCGACGCTCAACCGGGTCTCTTCGTCGGGCGTGCAGGGCGCCTCGTACTTCTCGGGGAGCATCAACGACATCCAACGCGACGCGGACGGCTCGTACCTGGCGGTCTCGTCGCGCGGCAACTTCTACCTCACCTACCGGCCCGGCGACGAGTTTTGGATCCCTCACAACCGCGGGTCGTCGAGGCGCGCGGCCGACGCGAGCCGGCCACCCGCTGCCGCTGGGCGCGGCTACTGACAGGTCCCTGGCACGGCTGTAGGCGCATCACTTCGATGGGGTGCTCGCGCGGCAGCGGGCCGCCGTGCGAAGGGCGCCCCCTCCCTCCCACCCCTCGCCTCCCTCCATCTCAGGTTCGTCAAGTCGCGCCTCGCCGACGGGCTCTGGATGTCGACGGCGGGCGGAGAGATCTCAAAGACGACGTCGGGCCAGCCGGTGGACACGCAGCTGATCGACATCCCCTTCGACCGCTGCCAGATCAAGTCGGGCGGCTACGGCATCCTCGACGTCCTCTTCCTCAAGGTTCAGCCGCCCTCGCAGCCGCGGCCGCCCACCCCCCGGCCTCCCCTCCTCCGACCCTAACCCTGACCCTAACCCACACCCAGCCCCCGGCCTCCCCTCCTCCGACCCGCGCCCGGCGCCGCCTCGCCGCAGGACTCCAACAAGGCGTGGGCGGTCGGAGGAGGCGGGACCATCTTTGGCTCCACCGACGGAGGCAGGTCCTGGCAGAAGGACAAGTCGGCGGACGACTTGCCAACCAACCTGTACAAGATCAAGTCCTTCTCCAACGGGCGCGTCTACATCCTCGGCTCAAACGGCGCGCTCTCCCCTCGCCGCGCGCTCGGGCCGCAGACCTGCACGCGGCTGAGCACTGCCCGCCGCCGCAGGCGTCCTCCTCTCGAACACGGCCTAGGCACGCCAGCCCCCTCCTCCTCTCTTGGCGGCTCCGGCAGCGCCCTCACCGCTTGGGCCTGCTCAGCATCGTAACGACAGCGTGACGCTCCGAGGGAAGGGCATCTGGGAGCGGCCTGTCGGTCGGCGCCGGTGCCGGGCCGGGTCCTCCAAGGCCACTACGTAGATTTGCACAGGCTTTGGCGCATGCGCTCATGGGGAGGGCCGGGGGAGCGGGCGGTCGGTGGGGCCGTGCTTGTGTGGCATTTTGAGATTGAGTGACGCGCTCCCTCCATGATTCTTGATCGTGGCGCGAGAACGAGAGGTACGCGCGCCTATGTGTGTTCAAAAATTTCGATAGCACACTGGGCTCACATTACACATATACCGCCACGGGGGTGACGCGGACGAGGACGGTGGACGCGCTCACGCACACGTCCGAAAAGAGAGTACAGACAAAGAATCGGAGCAGCTACGTGTCTCTCGGCGGGAGCTCAGTGTAGCAAGCCTTCTAGTACTTTGCCTTCCGGCCCTGGCAGTCAAGCTGGACGAGATGTGGACACAGCTGGCGCACGGTCGCCTCTGAGAGGTCGATGGTGCCCACACAGCCATTCATGTTGAGCTGGCGGAGCGCCGCGCCGGAGGTGTGCAGCAGCGGCGTGAGCGACTCGGGCGGGAGCACGCGGCAGCCAAAGAGGTTGAGGGTGTCGAGGCGAGCTGCCGCTGGCGCGCGCATCGCGTGGAGCGCCTTGCACTGCGCCAAGTTGAGCGAGCGAAGGACGGCGCACCGGCCGAGGAAGACCTCGCCGAGCGTGCGGCAGCCCGACGCGTTGAGCGAGGAGAGGAGCGGCGCGCGGACGACGAGGAGGGAGAGCACCGTGCACTGCGAGACGTTGAGGCGCGCGAGGCTGGCGCAGCTCACCTGCAGCACCCCGAGCCGGGACCAGCCGCGCAGAGAAAGCTGCACCAGCGGCGGCAGCCTCTCGAGCCGCATTCGCCGCCGGCTGACCACGTCCACCGTCTCCACGGCTAGCGCCAGGGCCGCCGCCGCCGCCGCGTCGGCCTCCGCCTCCGCCGCAGAAGGCGAAGCCGCCGCCGCCACCTCTGGCGAACCCGTCGCCGCCGCCGCCGCCGCCGCCGCCGCCGCCGCCGCCGCCGCCGCCGCCGCCGCCGCCGCCGCCGCCTCGTTGCCATTTCCCATCAGGGCCGCCGCCGCCGCCGCCGTCGCTCGAGGCGGGGCCGCGCTCACCCCAGCAGCGCGGCGGGCTTGGAGCCGGTCGCCGCAGAAACTGCTTTCACAGGGGGGGGGGGGGGGGGTCCCCCAGGGAGGGGAGATGGGGAGACCGGCCAAGTGGGTAAGGGGCGGGGCCCGGCCTGAAATCGGCTTCTGTGAGGCCTGCGCACCGCTGCAGCAGCGAGGTCACCTGAGGGGATGTCGGGGGATAATGCAGCCGGCGGAGATGGGCTGGGAAGGCGCGGGCGGCGCGCGCTATCTCTTGCGAGAGCTGCGGGTTCTCGGCGAGCGAGAGCGAGGTGAGGCGCGGCAGGCTCCCCAGCCGCTCGGCGAGGGCGTCGTTGAGCGCGGGGCAGCTGTTGAGGGCGAGGGAGCTCAGCTGCGCAAGCTCGGCCGGGAGGTCGAACAGCACCTCCTGCACCGCGTCGACGAGCGGCACGTCGCAGCCCGAGCGAGGCGCGCCCGCGCCAGAAATGCGGAGCGAAGCGAGGCGTCGCGCCGCAGGCTGGCTGAGCGCCTGCGAGAGCAGGCTCGCGCCGACGTCGCCGGCGGCGTCGAGCGAGAGGGAGTGGAGGCCGCTCGCCTACAAGACATGTGTCGGACATGTGTCGGACATGCCTCGGACAGAGCGAGAGGGAGTGGAGGCCGCGCGCAGCGCGGAGCAGCGAGAGCACCCGCCGGTTGCTCCACCCCTTGAGCTCGCGCTCGTGCCGCAGCTCGCGCAGGGAGGAGAGGTGCTGCGCCTGCAGGAGGGAAGCCGCCGCCGGCTGCTCGGGCGGTGGGCGCGGTGCGGCGTTGGTATTCGGCGGGGCGCGCACCACGAGCACGCGAGTGCTCTTGCACGCGAGAGCGAGGCTTCCGAGCGCCTGGAGGGGCAGGCTGGCGAGGAGCGGGCCGAGGAGCTCCGAGGGAAGCAGGGCGAAGCTGGTGTCGTCGCCCTCCTCCTCGCTGCTGCCGCTGGGCTGAGTGCCCTCGGCGCCGAGAGAGGCGGACAGCTCGAGCAGCCGGCTGACGAGGGTGTCCATGTCGTCTCCGTGCACGGCAGCGAGCTCGGCTACTCGCTCGCGCGGCACGGCGGGCGCCAAGGCGCACAGCTCGAGCGCCAGCGGCGAGTCGGCGGCGGCGGGCTGCGATGAGGGCTCGAAGCTAGAGCCGCCTCCGCCACCGCCGCCACCATGGGCGCTGTTGAGCTGCAGCTCGTAGCGAAAGCTCGTCCTCTTCTTGGCCTTGCCTTTCGCCATGGGGCCGACCGCCAACGCCTGGTCTCTCTTTATGACAACCGCGTAGAGCGAGCGCAGCAGAGCTTGGCAACCTTAGTGGCCGCAGGGGGGTCACACGCCCGTCGGGCGTGAACTACCGGGTAGTCGCGGCGTGGGATCGCAAGCGCGCGAAGAAAATTTTACATGTACTCCTCCGGATCCCCTACCCAGCGACACCTCGAGATAGGATTTGCGCGGTGTTCGGCAGGGAGAGACAAATGGGGGGGGGGAAGAGAGAAAGAGAAATTCACCCGCGCTGGCGGCGCCTGGCACCACCCACTGCCTCTGCTGTCTCTCATTCTCTGATATGCCGCCTCGTGACTCCGAGCGGAAGAAGCACAGGTCTCGCCGCCACGACTCGTCCGAGAGCGAAAGCGGCGACAAGAAGAAGCGGCGGCGCGAGCGCAGCCGCAAGGACGAGGAGCGCTCGCGCTCGCGCTCCGCCGACAGTGAGGAGCGCAAGCGCAAGCGCCGCGACAGGGACAAGGAGCGCAAGCGCGACGATGAGCGCGAGGAGCGCCCCGCCGCCGGTGCGGGCGGCGACGAGGCCGCCGGCGGCGGCGCGCCACCACAGCCGGCGACGGAGGCAACGGAGCCCAAGGGCGGCTCTGCGTTGTCGGGCGACAAGGCGGCGGCGGGCGACAAGGCGGCGGGCGGCGCCGGCGGAGATGCGGGCGAGGGCGGGCGCGAGGGTGGCGAGGGCGGGCGGAGCCGCAGGGACGGCGACGACAGGCCGCGGGAGCGACGCGACCGCAGCCGAGAGCGCGACCGGCGCGACCGCGACCGCGACCGGCGGGAGCGCAGGTCGCGCTCCCGGGACAGGGACCGGCGCGATCGGGACCGGCGCGAGCGCAGCCGCGACCGGGGCAGGCGCCACGACGAGGAGGAGCCGCGCAAGCGCCGGTCCGGCTTCAGCTCCGGCTGGGACCTCTCCTCGAACCAGGCGCCGGCGTGGCCCTCTGCGGCGTGGGGCCCTCTGGAGAGAACCTCTGGAGAGATCGCCGGCCAGCGCAGCGCGGCCCGCGCCGACCAAGTCCCGCGCGCCAGCCCTCCACCCACCCCACCGACCGCTCCCGCCACTGCACTGCCCGCAGGTGCAGACAGGGCCCGACGTGGCGATGCCGCTCATCTCGCCGCAGCTGATGCAGGAGACGCGGCTCGGGAGGCGCGTGTACGTGGGCAACACGCCTGTCGAGGCGCGGAGCAGCCCGTCCTACGGCGACCCGCAGGGGGCAGCGACCGCTGAGCCCTCCCTCCCCCCCCCTCCCCCCCCCCAATCCTTTCGCAGGCATCCTCCGACGAGATTTGCGGCTACCTCAACGACGCGATGGTCAAGATCGGGCTCCAAAAGTGGAGCGGGCCGCCCATCCTGCAGGCCCCGACCCTGCCCCCTCGCCACCTCCTCCCCTCCCCTCCCCGTCCTCCCACCGCCCTCCGCTCCTCCCCTCCTCCAAGGTTGCGCACCAGGGCGGCGGCTTCGCTTTCCTCGAGCTGAGGGACGTGCACGAGGAGGGAGATAGCCGGGAGAGAGCAGGGAGATAGCCGGGAGAGAGCAGGGAGAGAGCCGGGAGAGAGCAGGGAGAGAGCCCTTGGGCTGAGGGTTTTGCGCGAGTCGGGCGGGCTCCCTTCTCCTCTTCGACGGCACCTGCAGGACACGTCGTCCCAGGCAGGGCCGAGCCGTGCACGGTTGTCCCGTAGGCGAGCGCCCTCCTCCTCTTCGACGGCATGGACTACCGAGGCAGGCAGCTCAAGGTCCGCCGGCCGACCGACTACCAGCCGCCGCCGCAAAAGGTCGAGGCCCGGCCCTCCCCCCGACCCGCCGCGCCGCCGCCGCGCCGCCTGCCGCCGAGCTAACTCTAACCCTAACCCGAACCCTGCCGCCGAGCTCCGCCTGCCTCGCCGCAGGCTCTCTCCCTCGTCCACCCTCCCTCGCCGGGCACGCTGCTGCACTCGGCGCTCAACGGGCTCACACGCATCAAGGGCGTCGTCTCCTCGGACGTGCCCGACGGGCCGAACAAGGTCTTCCTCGGCAACGTGCCAAACCACCTGACCAACGTCGAGGCGCGGCAAACCCTCGCGTCGCTCCCCCCATCACACCGGCACACGGCCCTCTCACGGGCACGCCTCACACCGGCACGCCTCTCACGGGCACGCCCGCCGTCGCCCAACCGCAGGTGCGGCGCATCGCCGAGTTCTTCGGGCCGCTGAAAGGCTTCCACCTTCTCACCGACGCGGCCGACGCGCGCAACAAGGGCACCGCCCCGCACCGCCCGCCTCTGCCCCCGCCCCCGCCGCAGCCCCGACCCTGCCGCAGGCTGCGCCTTCCTCGAGTTCGACGACACCGACGGTGCCGCCGCGGAGAGCCGCCGCCGCAGCAAGTCTCGCGGCGTCGCTCAGCCGCCTCCGCCCCGCGACAGGCCTCTCCACCGACGAGGCGGTCGCAGGGCTGCACGGGCTCGAGGTCGGCGGCCGGTTCCTCACCTGCGAGCGATCGTACAAGCACTCCGAGCAAGAGATGGGCGGCCGGGGCAGGCACATCCCTCAGGCGCGCCTCGACCCCCCCCCCCCCTGTCGCCCCTTCGCCCCGCCGCAGCGCTCCTGACGGGGCCGTCCGTTTGCCAGGTCGCGCTCGGCACCAGCGGCTACGGGTCGGGGACCGCGGCTCCGCCCGCCCTGACGATGAAGCCGCCGCCGCCGCCTGGAGGGGGCTACGGCGCACCATCGCCGGGCGCCGGCGGCTTCAGCCCGACCAACCCGATGGCGCGGCTTCCCGGGTTTGTCGCCGGCGGCGTCGTCCCAGCCACGATGCGGCCACACTAATTGAGTGTCTCAGGGGCATGCGCCGGCGAGGGGGCAGGAGCAGGTGGTCAGCCCGGTGGCGGCAGGGTTGGGCGAGTACGAGCGTGCCGCGATGAGTTCGAGTACTGACGTCGACGAGCTACGGCATCATCACTTGCTCGCCGAGGCTGGCTTGCGCGCGCGGGGGGGGGGGGGGGGGGCACCGAGATCTCACAATTGATCTTTGATGTGTTGAGCTGTGGGCTGCGCGCGCCCCCCCCAGGCCCCCGCTCTCCGCTCTCGCCCGCCTCTTTCTCTCTCGCGGTATCTGGTCGTTTTTCAGATTTCACGTTTACTCGTTGCGAGTCACATTTTTTTATTTTTGCACGGGGTCTCGCTCGTCGCTGGCTCCGGCGCGCACACTCGGCGACACACTCGGGGGGGACGGGTGGACCGGGGCACCGGGCAGGCGGGCTCACCCTGCACCCTGGCACACGCTCACCCCCTCACACGGGGCGGCGAGCCACTCGAAAGTCAAAACCGTATATACACTGCACAACGGCACACGGCGACGTAGCGATCACGAACTAAATACCGCTATCCGCTAATAGTTAATAGTTAAATAGAGGCCCCCGCACGCGGGTCGCGGCACACGGCCGCCGCCACGGGGCGCGCGCCCGCCCCGCGCCCGGAGAGAGAAAGAAGAGGGGCAGAGAGCTCTGCTGCACTGCTGGTTGGTGCGCACCGACCGAGCGCTACACCGCACGCTGGCAGTGGGCCATACTGCGGTTCACAGCAGCCAGTGCTAATGCACAGGAGCCAATCAATCGCTCCCCGCGACGCACGCTCCACTCAACGAGAGAGCTTGGTAGGCGTGGAGACGGAGGCGGTCGAGAACGGAGAGAATCAAGTGACGACGGCCGGAAGCGCAGCAAGGTAGCCGGAGAAGCGGTGGGAGAGTCGGTGCAACGCGGCCTCCTCCGAGGCGCGCGCCGAGCTCCCCCCCGATTTCAGCCAACGCATCTGCGCGCCCTTGCTGTTGAGCACGTAGACCGCGCTGATGGGCACCGGAAAGGCGGGCATCATCGGTGCCTTTGCGCTGATGGTCATCGTGGCGTCGCCCGCGAGGGTGGGGCACGCAAACTTGGTCGCCTTGACCTTGACCCCCTTGAGGAACGCGGCCGCGGCCGTCACCCCCTTGATTTCGCAAAACTCACCTCGCTTGGTGATGACGCCCGACATCTTGGTGTCCCAAAAGACCGTCCAAACCTCCACCGTGCGCGAGCATGGCTGGTCCAGCTCGAGGTGGACCTCCAAGCCCTTCGCGGTTCGCCTCTGCGACCACGCGACGATGCGGTCGGCCGGCACGATGTACGGCGGCACCCCGTGCTCCACTGCAAAGCGGCGGGCCGCGCTGTCGGGCGACTCCTGCTCCTGCTCCTGCTGCATCGGCTCGGTGCTCTCAGCGGCCGTCGGCTCGGCAAGCGACGGCGGCACGGCTTCCGCAGCCGCCCTCTCCGATGCCGCGGCCAGCCTCTCCGCCTCAACCTGGCCGGCATCCACCTCCTCGCGAGTCCAGAGCGCCTGCGGCTCACACCGCTTCTTCCTCTGTCTCGGGAACCAGGAGGCGGAGGAGCCTGACTTTTCGAGGATTAGCTCACACGAAGAGGAGAAGGAGAGGGTCGACCCCACCGTCAGCGTCGACCCGAGCCACTTTGGGGAGGAACCCTTGCGGCGCAACATCGTGGGCGCGTCCTTGCTCTTTGGACTTACTCGGTAGAGCTTCAGCTGGTCTTTTGTTGCTTTCTGTCTTTCTTTGTTTAGGGAGGGTGGTACCTTTTGTGAAACTGAAACGCGGAACGCGATCTGTCTCGCGTTCCTCAACGCTTGCGATTCAGCTGTCGCGCCGCTGGATGATCTTGCTCAGCTCGCCGAGCTCGACCTGAACGGTCAGCGGCGCGACCGCTGAATCGCAGCCGTTCGAGAGATTTGTTGCCGTGTTCGTGCTGCACGCATGCATCGTTGCAGTTTCACATTACTTCCCCCCCCCTTAAGACTTAGCCACTTAGCTGTCACGCTCGCGGGGATGGGAACCAGGCCGCTCGCTGCAAGAACTAGACTTAGCAACTTATCCTGTTGTCGGGGCAGCCACAAGCGGGCAAAAACAAATTTGGTATTGCTAAAAATCTCTCTCTCTCAAGCGGGCTTGTCCAACCTGATCTCATTGACCTATCATCAGGCCGCTCGCTGCCCCAACCCGACTTAGCCACGGACTTTGCTCATATACCCAGGTCGTTTGTACTTCAAGGCTTAAGAGAGGAGTAGGACAACAGAGCTTTTCCCCATGTTCCCACGCGCTGTGCTCTTCAGATAAATAGCGCAGACATCTTTCTTGATGCTCTTCAGTGCTCTCGGCGATTCCGGACCTCCCCCTTCCACACCGGCGAGTGTGCTTCGCAAGGGAGGGTCCGGGCTAGGGTCCGCGGCTCACAGCATCAGAGCCCGGAGCCGAGGTGTCCGATACCACTACCTCTCGCAGGCTACCCGTTCAGTCAGCTGGCATGTCCGACACCACCATGACCCGCCAGCCAGTTCGATCGAACTGAGACAAACCCATCAGCAGTTGTGCGGTCAAGCGACACAAAGCCGGTTCATGCCACATGCGCATCGTCTCGAGCATCCGCCGGCGGCTGACAAGCAAGCTTTGGTCAAGGTCCAGCGTTCCCCGGGGGGCGCGACCGTAACCCTGACACGTGGAGCACGAACCCTCGCGCCAAAACGACCCGCCAAGGCCCTATTGAATACGTGCGAACCAGCCCCTGCCGACCGCGGCCGAGGCCGCCGAGCGCCGGAAGAGACAGCGCGAGCGAGGTCTCGCGCCCGTCGTCACTCCCTCGCTGCGGCTGGATCCGCCGGCCGCACGGCCGAGTGGGGCAGCAGCGGCGATGCCGCCTCCGCAGCCTCCGCAGCCTCCGCAGCATCGCCAACCGCAGCCTCCTCGGCCGACACCGAGCGCGGGTCCGTCGTCTGCCGCGCCGGCCCCAAGCGTGGGCGGCCGCGGCGGTGCCGCCGCCGCCTTGCCGACTCGCCCCAGCACTCCGGCCCAGCCGCCAAACGGCGTCGTGGTCTCGACCCGCCAGCGCGGCAATCCAGTGCTGGCGGCCATCAAGGCGGTGCCGTGGGCCTACGGCCCCACGACGGCCGACTTTCTGATCCCGGACGGGGCGTGTGCGCTCTTCCTGTCGCTTCGGTACCACCTGCTGCACCCAAACTACCTTCTCGCGCGGCTGAGAGAGCTGCGCGAGCTCACGCCGCTGCGGCTGGTGCTCCTGCTCGTCGACTCGGAGGCGCCCGAGCGGCCCATCCTCACCGTGCTGCAGCAGGCCACGGCGCACGAGTGCACGCTGCTGCTCGGCTGGTCGGTGGGCGAGGTGGCGCGGTACGTCGAGACGCTGCGCGCGTACGCCAAGAAGGGCGCGGAGTCCATCCGCGAGAGGCGAGACGCGGCCCGAGATGCAGCCGAGATGCAGCCGAGATGTGGCGGAGATGTGGCGCGAGGGCGGCCGTGGAGTGTCGACCCGAGGAGCCTCGCAGCTGAGCCCCTCTCGGCAGGTCGGACGGCACTTTCCTCGCCCAGCTGACGGACGTGCTGACCACCTCGCGCCTCGTCAACAAGACGGACGTCGCGACGCTCAACAACACCTTCGGCCCCAGACCCTCCTGCGAGCAAGCGCCCTGGCGACGAGGCGAGGGCTGAGACCGAGGCCTTCCGCCCGTAGGCTCTCTCGCGCGCATCATGGCCGCCGCCAGAGCACGCGCGATCCGGCCCAAGCAGACGGCCCGCTGAACCGCCACCGCCTCCGCTCTAGGCGGCAACAGAGCAAGAGCTCACTCTCTGCCCCGGCCTCGGTGGCCCCAATCTCGGAGCGGCCCGACCCTGGCCTTGACCCCCTCGTGGAGTGACAGCGCCTCCCCTCTAGGCCCGACCAAGGCGAGCCCCAGCCGCCCGCCCACTTTGCAGCCCACACTTGCCGCCAAACCCTTGACGCTCTCTCGGCCCCCAAAACAGGTGCGCCGGCTTCGCGAAGCTTTCCACGAGCCCTTCATCCCCGCCTACGCGCGCCGCGCCGCTGCCGCCGCCGCCGCTTCGGGCTCCGGCTCCGTTGCCGCCCCAGCCTCATCTGTTGCGTGTGCCGGTGCCTCCGCCGCAACCGCTCCTGCCGACGACACGGCCGCGGACACAGCCACGGGCGATTCGTCGGAGCAGACTGAGGACAACGGTGCCCGATGAGTTGATGAATAGTGTACGAGATTCATTCAGTTGGGGAAAGGGGTGTGTTTTGGGCGGCTCCGCGTTCGGTGCCCCTGTTAGTTCCTATAGCATCGCGTATGTGAGCGCGTTCCCATTTTTTTGTATTTCACACACGCACGGGTCACAGCACACAGGCTCACAGCGCTCGCTCGCGATCCGTCGGAGAGCGTTTTTTCGGCCGCGGCGCGCGCGCGCCGCGCGCGCGCGGCGCGAGCGAGGCGACGGCCGCGCGGACTGAGCCCTGGTCTGACAGCAAACCCGGACAGCGCCTGACAGTGCCCGACAGCCTGACAGCGTTGACAGCACTTTCTCTGACAGTCTGACAGCACGTATCTGACAGCCTGACAGCAGAGTCTGACATCAGAGGGGCTCCGTCGCTGTCAGGCCCTAACGTGACAGCCTGACAGCTGCCTGACAGCCCGACAGCACACACCTGACAGCAGCGCTGACAGCCCGACAGCCCGACCAGCCCGACAGCAGCACAGACCGTACACAGCCGTGCAGCCTCTTTCTTGCACCCCATGAGGGTATAACAAAACATGCAAAGACATGTGAGTGTGGTCCATGTAGTCATGGGCTGGTCATGGGTCTCTCTCTCAACCCTCCGTCCTTCCCGCCCCACCTCTGCGGACCCCTCTCTAGCACCGGCGGCTGTGCTACTACAAATGAAGCTACCAGCTAGCCTTCTGGGGCCCTACAGTCATATGCCTACGGCGTCTGGGTGGGGGTGGCCGCGGGCCGCCGTCTGTGCCGCGCTGCCGCCGCCGCCGCCTGCGCCTGCGCCGCCATCTGCGCTCCCCAGGCGGACCCCTTCTAGGCAGAGTAGAGACTAGAGTGTGTGTAGTAGAGTCCTGCTGGTCTCCTCTTGATAATGTCATAAGTGTGGATAGTGTGTCAGAGCCTGACAGCACCCCGACAGCACCAACCGACAGCACCTGACAGCAGCACCGGCGTCTCTGACAGCAGCAGCAGCCCGACAGCTCTGACAGCTCCGACAGCGTCTGACAGCAACACCCGACAGCTCCGACAGCACCCGACAGCTACGGAGCCCCTCTGATGTCAGACAAGCACCCGACAGCACCCGACAGCACTGACAGCACCTGACAGCTGGTCTGACAGAGGCACCTGACAGTGCCTGACAGTGCCTGACAGCCTGACAGATCACACCTGACAGCACCTGACAGCCTGACAGCCAGGGCTCAGCGCGCGGAGCACCGCGCGCCGGCCGCCGCGGAGCCACCAGCACCACAGGCCGCACTTATAGGGTACCCCTAGGGTTCTGAGGGCCGGAATTTTTTAAGACCTTTTCAGAAGTGAGCTGGTTTGGGGGCTTGTGACGGCTTGAATTGCCATTTAAGAGATTGCAGTCACATAGAGGGTCCCTCTTTTTTAAGACCGTTTAAGAAAATCGGCCTCACCGGCATGCGCATCGCTGGGTACCGCGCCGGTTTCTCCAATACTGCCGTTATTAGGCACAACCCTGCATCTGAAGACACATCTGTAAGTCTGGTGCACTGGCGGGAGCCATACTCGCATAGGGGACGCGTGCTAGCTGACTGTAGCCAGCTTCCCGGCCTCCGCGCTCCGGCGTCTACCGGGAGCCTCCCGGACCATCGACCTCGGGAGCTCTCCCGCACCGTTTAAGCGTTTAAGACCGTGTTCCGTTAAGGATTCGGCGGCCCGTGCAGCAACCGCCCTAGGGCGGTTTTAAGCCGTTTTTGTAGTTTAATTAAGCCGCAGGTGCCTCAGGGCCCACCCCTTTAAGCCGAAAGGGCACATGCACAGCACATGCACATGCAACGCGGGGCGTGGGCGGCGGGAAAGCGCCCGGCCGCGGAGTGGGAGTCGCATGGGAGTCGAGAGTCGTGACGTGTCGAGAGCGGTCACGGATGTGTTGTGAGATGTGACTTGTGTGTTGTGAGACTGAAATAAATAAATAAAAACGGACACCTCTCTACTGTGAGATGGGTAAAAAGGAACAGGTCCCCGCCCTTGCGATCTTTGTGCAGGGTTCTTTGTGGGTGTGGTCGGCGACTAGCTCCGGCGGGTCGTCCTCCCCGATGGGGGACTAGCACTAGCCGTCTTCCACATGGTCCCTCGGGTCCCTGCTGCTCCTAATCTCTTCGTACATCCTCCTGCTGATCTCCGCAAAGTCCTGCTCCCTCCCTCGTCTCGCCCTGCGCGTCTGCTCCGCCTCACCGTCTTCTGCCCTGCGTCGTGTGGCGACGGGGTCCTCCATAGTCGGTCGAGGTCGCCGCCCCTCCTCTGCGACTCCCTCAAGGCCGGCCGAGCCTCTTTCCACCCAGTGAAGAGCTTCCTCAGCCACTCGATGTGTTCCTCTCTCTTCTTTATGCGCGCCGTAGCCTCATCATTGAGCTGGATCCACCTCTGCACCGCGCCCGTCGCCGCCTCGGCCACGACTTGCAAGTTCTCGTGACCCCGGCGCCAAGGTCCCTCCGGCTCTTCTCCGAGAGATCATCTACCAGCGCCGGCAACACCCCCCCGACGGCTGGGGCTAGTGCATCGTACCCGTCCTCATCCAGCACCCTATAGCGTGAGCCCTTCAGCGCAGCGACATGCGCTATCCCTCAGCGTCTTCAGCGTATCCTTGGAGTCGGGTGCCGCCTGGGCTACTTTGCTGATCGCCGTCCCCGTCTGCGCTCGCGCTACTCTGAGGAACCATCTGGCCTGCTCCCTATTCCCCAGGCAGGCGCCGCTAAGCAAGTGCGCCATCGTCGCTCTAGGCGGGTTCTCATCTTCCTCGGTCCATTGCTGCGCGGCTTTCCGCACGATCGGACACAGCGGGTCTCGCTTTAGTGCCGCCCTCCTCGCCGCGTCCCTCGCGGCCTTACAGACGAGGCAGCCCCTGAGTTCGCTCCTTGTGGCGGCGCCCGGGGTCTCTCTCCCCGCCTCTCCCCGCATAATCCTCTCGTGGTGCGCTCCGTGTGGCACCCCCGCCTGCTGCCGCACACGCGCTCCCATGACGGTCTTTGTCACCACGTTATGATCATCCACGTCGGCGAATTCAATCTCGCGCTCGCCGTGCTGATCCTTGATCCGCTGGCGCTTGTCCCATTTGTGTCTCTCGTCGTTCCCCTGACCACATCGCTCCACAGCGGCCCCGTCACCCCTGCCGTGTGCGACCCCGCCGTGAGCCCCTCGCCGAGCCGTCCTCGCACCCACTCGTTCGTGTGGCCGCGTGTGGCGTAATAAGTCCTCCGGTCCAGTACGTCTCCCCTCCACTCTCCGTCTGCCGTCCTCGCGGTCCGTGTATAGACACGGGCGTGTCCTCACTGCTCCACGGATGACGGCGGTGGCATACTCAATCTCACTGGCCCCCATGTATGCAGTCGCCGCTGCGTCGGCGTAGGCGTTGCCAGCGCACCCCGCGTGGCTCGGTACCCACAGGAACGTGACAGATTCGAGCTGGGCGCGATATCTGCATACCCCCATTAACTGAGCCCCCCGATCCCACTCCCTGAGCCCCTCGAGAGAGCCTTTTCGGTACGCCGCCTCGATCTGCTGTAGCGCGGGCTTGCAGTCGCTCAAGACGAGGCACCTCCTGTCCGCCGCGCATCTTCCGCGCCGTTGCCATCTTGTGAGACTGAGAGTTGTGTCTTGTGTGAGAAAACTCTCGAGTGAGAACTAGGGCGCAGGGCTAGCGCCGCAGAGCGCGCCGAACACGAAAGTGTCCGTTTCATTTTTAGAAATGCATTCATTAGCATGTTTCGCAGGGGCGCCCACGAGACGCGCAGCGCCATACACGCTTGGCGCCCAAGGGCGGCCCGAAAGAGTCCCTGCGCCCGCTCTCTCGCAGTGCTCTCGACCGCATACCGACACTACTTTCCACAATCTGGTTCCTGGCCGCTCTTCAGTCGCTATCCTTCGCCTTCAGCAGCGCCGGGCATGCCAAGACCTTCTGCAGGACGTGCCTCGCCCTCGCCCTCGCCCTCGCCCTGCCCACCGACAGACATGTCGCCCTCCTCGCCCTCGCCAGCCTCGCCGCCCGCCTCGGCCGCGCCGTCGCCGCGGCCGTCCGGCGTCGCGACGTCGTAGGGGTGGTCCGCGCCTGCGCGCAAAGATGGGCACGCCGCGGTTGGGGCAACGGCGCCATGTCGTGTGTGTGTGGTTTGGAGAGAGGTCAGGCTGCGGCATCTACGGCATGCACGTTCGAGGGCGAGGAGCGCGGAGGAGAGGCGACGCTCGAGCGCCTCTCGCTGGCTGCTGGAGAGCTGGCTTGCGCCGCCGCCATCGAGCGACTCGAGCAGCTCCATCAGCCGCGCCTCTCTCGAGATCTCGGAGGACGAGGTGGCCGAGGGCAGCGCTAGGTCGGCCGCCGCGACTCCTGTCGCCTCGCCGAGCGATACCGGCCCCGTGCCTGCTGCGCGGGCGGGCGTCCAGCCGCTGCGGGTGGGGTCGCTCGACGTGCTGAGGAAGAGGTAGATGGCGGAGATGGCGATCGTCGTCCACAAAAGCACCATGCTCGAGAGGATGAGCAGCTTATGATATCGCCGGATTGTTGCCCAGCTGGCGGTGGTGGAAGGGACCATCTGAAGATTAGCCGCCTCGCACGGACTGCGGTCAGCTTTCGCTAGCCCGTAGCGCACCTTCAGACGGAGTGGTGGTGGTAGGGGTCGCAAGAGCCTTTTTGTGTTCGCGCAAAAATAATTTTTCCTCTACCCGTGGGGCGCGGCGGGGGCGGCGGGTGTGCGGGATGTCCGTGGGCCCGAGCGCGATGCCTGATTTTTGTTTCAAGTCGAAGAAAAAAGAAATCGCGCTGCGCTGCCGCCACTTCACATCCTCGCGAGGCGATCGAGGCACACCGCCTCTGCGTCCCTTTCGTACCTAGTGACGCCAACTTCCAGGGCCGCCATGTTGCCAGGCAGAGCCCTCCTCTTGTCGGTGGCCTGCTGTCCGTCAGCTCTCGGGGCGCTCCTCGCCCCTCTCCCCGCCGCCGCGCGTATGCGCACACCAATGATGGTGGTCACGTCGTGGTATGACTCTGGCGTTCGGCTCGCGTCATACACGCCGCCTGCTGCTGCCCACAAAGCGATGCCTCCGCCGCCCGCCCCGCTGCCGCCGCCGCCGCCGCCGCTCACCGCCTCGGCGGAGGCGAGCCTCGCAGCGGCGGCCATCTCGGCCGTCGCCGTCCTTGGTATCGACCTCGCATCCTTTGGGGTGGTCGAGAACTTGGATGCGGCGGTGCTTGTGGGTGGGCTGGCGCTCTCGCAGGTTCCGACCCACCGCCGCGCCCCGTGCTGGCCCGCCGCCGCGCCCCGAGCGCTCTCAGTGAACGTCACGTCACGGCGCATACGCTGCTGCTAGGTGGAGGCGCGAGGCCCCATCGGCGACGCGCTTCGCGCCGTCGGTAATGCTACGAGCGGCGCGCTCGGCGCCGTCGGCGGTGTGTTCCGTCCGGTCGGCCGGTTCTGGGCGGATAACGAGGTTGGTCTCACGTCGCGCGCAGTGCTGGAGCTGGGTCTCGAGAATGCGATCTATGCCCTCGACCCGAAGCGGCGCAAGGCGGAGAAGGCCGCGGCAACGGCGGAGGCGGCGGCGGCGGCGGCGGCGACACTGCGCGCCGAGAGGGACGCGGTGCCAATCTTTTCGCTGCAGGACCGGTGGGCGATGGACGAGGAGGTGCGCGAGGCGGAGCGGGCGGCGAGCGAGGCGAAACGGGCCGCGCAGGCAGCGTACAAGGAGCTCGCGCGTGACGAGCGGTAGGAGGGTCGAGGCGGCGCTCTCCGTGGCGAAGCAACGTCGCTGGCAGAGATGCGGTAGGATTCCTATGTAGGGCCGCGCGGAGGGGAGAGGGCAGGGGTGTTCGCCAGGATGTGGCCAAGCTGGCGAGGTGGCCGGGTAGTGTGGCGGCGAGGCTCGCGCGTAGGAACACGGTCGCCGGTGTGTTGTAGCCGTGCGCTCGGGTCGGGAGGGACGCGGCGTCGGGATGGGGCGGGGCGCGGCGCGGCGCGGCGCGGCGCGTGTGTTTTGTTGTGTTCTGCAGTCTCGCTCCCAATACGTGCATCACTTATGTGACGGTGTCACAACTTTGATCAACCATATCTCGATAACTAGCATGTCGACGCTCATGAAAGTAGGCGCAATCGATCGGGCGCCGGGCGCCCAGTTGATTGCGCCTACTAGCTACTACCTCCAACGGGGCGGTCTGGATCACGGGGGATGACATCCTGCCTCCCGGCACGCGCCGGGAGGGAGGTGGGTGCTCCGCCGCCGGACCGCCCTCTCCACCACCCTCGCCCAGGGATCTACAACGCTGTCTTAAGGTCCGACAGGTTCGGCACCGGGCACCGCCTCGGTATACAAAATGGTAAATGCGCCTGCGGGCGGACCCTCACAGGTCACAGATCACCAAAGTGAGAGCGTCGACATTGTAATATGGTTGATCAAAGTTGTGACACCGTCACTTAAGTGATGCACGTATTGGGAGCGAGACTGTCTGTGTCATTGGTAGGTAGGTAGGTAGAAAGGTGAAGAACAGCCAGGCTCGGACTGGACACCAACGCGGTATGGGTGGACGCTGGACAGATGATGACGACACGCACGAGCGACACACAGACACAAACAAGCTCACAAGACACACAGCCAGCGGGCTGCCACACACCCTGAGTCGGCGTACACATAACTCAGGGCCACATCCTCCCTGTCGCCCCCCCCAGCACTCCACGGTGCCAAGGGCACAAACAAGGGCACAACTCAAACAACAGACGACAGGAAGTGACATGCGAGGCTAGAGCAGGCTTGCTCTACCTCCAGCAATCTCTCCGGCCGGCGAGGCACGGACGAGACCGTGTGTGGGGTCTAAGTGAGGTGTCTATGGACGCTCTCCTCACGGGCTAGCTGCCTGCGGCTAGCCCTAATCTCGCACTCACGGGCAGTGACAATTCAATGGGTGAGTGTTTGCGAGCAGAGGCGCGTGGGCTAAATCTAGGCCGCACGTCGTGGCACTATGACGAAGTTAGACGTGCGGCCGCAGCGCGCCCGCCGCAGGCTCGGCGGTGCGCGCGTGTTAGCGAGCAAGTTGCGGGTGGAGCCATGCCCGACTTTTCGAAGGTGAGGCCTCTGCGACGAGTGCCAGCCGCGCTGCGGAGCCACACCCTTCGAGCCGCGTCCCGTCGGCACTGTCCCCGAGTAGTCCCGCCTTGGCGGCACACACTCTCGACCAGGACAGTCCGGCCTCCGGGAACGTGTCGCACGCCGGCGACGATTGCGGCGTGGTCGTTTTGAAGCGAAGATGGCACGACCACCACCCTGCTTCGCAGACCGGGCAAGGAGGGGGCTGCTCCCGTTCCGCGAGGAACAGGAGGTCTCCCCCCCTCCCCCGGCCTGAGCAGCGGCGGATGGAAGGCAGCCCCGTGAGTCGAGGGCGGCGCGACCATTGCCGAGCTCCAGCGACCAAAGGCCCGGGCGTCTGCTGATGGTCGCGCCGCCCCGCTCCGCGCCGCCCGCCGCCGCGCCGCGCCGCCGCCTCGCGCAGCCGCCGCGCCGCGCCCCGCCCGATGATTAATAATTAAGATTACCCGGAATACGGTACGCAATTAAGGAATTAATGAGTGAATTAATCAATTAATTGAGCGCCCTCGCGTCACCTATGACTCGATCAGTGTGAAGGTGAAGAGATGTCACCGAGCGTGCGAGCAGCTGGCCCGGGGGGGAGAGAGAGAGAGAGAGAGAGAGAGAGAGAGAGAGAGAGAGAGAGAGAGAGAGAGAGAGAGAGAGAGAGAGAGAGGGAGGGAGGAGAGAGAGAGAGAGAGAGAGAGAGAGAGAGAGAGAGAGAGAGAGAGAGAGACAGGGAGAGGGAGAGAGAGAGAGAGAGACCCGAGAGAGAGAGAGAGACAGAGAGAGAGAGAGAGAGAGAGAGAGAGAGAGAGAGCCGAGAGAGAGAGAGAGAGAAAGAGAGAGAGAGAGAAAGGGGGGCGGGGGGGGGGGAGGCATCAGGAGCAGCATCACTAGTCCTCGTAGTCCATCATGAAATAAACTCAAAGGTCCACCACAGCCTCCAGCCTCCACCTCCACCCGCGAGCCTCCACCGCTGCCGCCCGCGACGCCGCCCGCCGCGTCAGATTGTCACGACGCGCCCATCGAGTCGCGTCGGAGAGCCGCGCCGCACCAGCAGCAGCATCTGCACCACCACCAGCAGCAGCAGCAGCACCACCACCACCAGAGAGAGAAGCGCACTGCCCGACGCCGCCCGCCGCGTCAGATGCTCGCGACGCGCTCGTCGAGCCCAGTCGCAGAGCCGCGCCGCGCCAGCAGCAGCATCTGCATCAGCAGCAGCACCACCACCACCACCAGCAGCAACAGAGACATGCAGTGCAGGCGCAGAAGCGCTCGCAGAGCGGCGCGCAGAGCCGCGCACGCCACGCTGCGGACCGTCGGACGAGCGCATCGTACGTCGGCGGCGAGCCGCGTCGCCAGCCGTCTCGCGAGAGAGCGGCGCCGCCGCGTGCGCGCAGCAGCCGCCGCGGCAGAGGCGAGCCGCGACGACGTCCGCATAACGGATAACTGCCATTCGCGGTTGCCATGTTCAGGTACACCATTGTCATTGGTTTCGCCAAAAAAGAAATAAAATAGCCAAAAGAATTCAAGCCAGACACCACCTTGGCCCCCGCGCGAGTATCCAGTGCCATTTCGCCCGGCCACGCCCGGCCATCCTGCAGCCGCTGTCGCCACCGCTATACCCGCTAGTGCTGCATGCGTCGTTCGCGCAGGTCGCGCACATCGGCGGCTGAGTCGACATCGTCATCCCACTTGGCTGAGTCGACATCATCCGCCCAGGGTGAGGCCGCGCCTCCTTCGCCAGATTTGGTGGCGCTGCTCGCGGCAGTGAATGGCGACGAGAGGCTCGTCGAGTCGATTGAGCGCCACCGCTTTGGTGAGAGCGCAGAGGCGCTCTGCGCCCGCTTTGCTCGTGCTCGCGCCGGCTCGCTGCCAAAGGCGCTTGCGATGCTGCGCAGGGACATGGAGCGGCGAGAGGAGCGCGGCTTTGCCGACCTTCGCGCGATGAGCGCGGCGCAGGTGCTCTCCCTCTCACCGTCCCGCGACGGCTCCGACGGCGGGGCGTTGCGCGACCGGCTGCTTGGCGAGTGGAACCCCACCGGCCTCCTCGGCCGGGACTATGCCGGAAGGCCGGTGCTCTATCGCAACTTTTCTCGCACCCGCCTGTGGGACGTCCCGCTGCCGCTGAGCGCCCTGCTCAAGTACAACGAGTGGGTGTCCGAGCGGCTGGCCGCGTCGATGGGCGATGTCGGCAAGTGGACGATCGTGATTGACGTCGCCAACATGGGCGCTGTGCAGTGCCTGCACCCGACCCACCTCGCCTTTTGCAAAGGTCTCGCCAGGACGGACGCGGCCCACTATCCCGAACGGCTCGGCCGGCTGCTGCTGATCAACGCGCCAGCCGTCTTTGAAAAGTTCTGGAACGCGTTCAAGGCCGTGCTCGACCCAAACACGGTCGCCAAGATCGACATCCTCGGCAGCGGCCCCGCCGTGCAGAGGCGCCTCGCCGAGCTGATGCCGCCCGAGATCCTGCCCTTGGCCCTCGGCGGCAAGGCCACGCTGTCGCTGGCAGGGCTCGACCCCGCGCTGCCATCGCTGCCGCCGAGCGCCCCGGTGTTTGACGTGGTCGCGACCAGGTCCAGCCGCGGCTCGGGGATCGCGTGCGTCGCCGTGTACGATTGCGAGGAGGAGCCGTCGCCGCAGGCGGAGGAGTGAGCCCCTGCGCGTGTATATCTCTGTTTATCCCTTCTCCTGTGACGCCTTGACACGGTTCTTTGTTCGCGCGTGTGTGCGTGCGTGTGCCGTATCGCGTATGGTGTATGGTGTTGGTGTGCCGTGTGCGTGCTGTGTGTCGGGCGCGTGAAAGCGAGCAAGCAAGAAAAAAACTGGAGCGTGGGTAGCGGGCCGACTACACGGTAAGGCATACGCGATACGGACCTTGCAGTAAACCTTTTCCTTCTAAGCAGGGCTACACAATGACCCCATAGTGTGTGGGTGTTTCTGGCGAGTCGTGATGAGTAGAATTAGATTAGCCAATGTTATTTTGAAGTTCATATATGAAAATACCAACTTGCCTATGTGCACGTCTCCGCGGCAGCGGCCCGGAGGCGGCCCGGCGGAGCGGTCAGAGCACTGCGCCGGCCGGCGATCGACTCTCGACTATAACACGGGCTCTATTGAATGGCCTCAAGGTGCTCTCTAGGGCTGCCCTATTCCGCTCGCCCGGCTACGTCGCTGAGCTTCGAAGGAAAAGGTTTCGCTCGGCACGGCGTCGGAGAGCAAACTTCGGCGTTCGTCCTATTTGGAATGCTGGACGCACGTCGGCAAGTGGGCCGATGACCAGGCGGGCTGCTGCTCAGAATCTGGGCCCTCTTGGCGACCGCTCTCGCGCTCTCCATAATGGCTTTGCCCCCTCCCTCCCGCGCCGACGTTGGGCAGCCCGACCACGACAACGCCAGTGCCGCCGGCCTGCAGCTCGAGGCGCCGTTGAATGAGCACGAGAGCCGGTGCACGACGGCGGCGCGGGTGATGCAGCCCAAGGTGACGACGACGGCGGAGGGGGCGGCGGCGGAGGGGGCGGCGGCGGCAGCGGCGACGGCCGCGGGGTCGGCCCGCCCGCCTTTGCTGCTGGGCTGTGGGCATCATCACAGCTCAACGTGAAGTCAAGGCGCGGAAGCTTCAGTGGGCACTTTTCGCGTCATTTGCCACGCATATAGCGCCGCGGACCGGTCTACCGGACCCGCCCCTGATCTTGCTCTCTTCCTCGACTCGACCTTCCGCGATCTTTCTCGACTACCTGATGCTGAGTTCCCGTAGCCCTGGGGGGTGCGCGTTCGCAGGGAAAGGGCCATAAAGTAAACACGGGTCTCCGAGGGTTGGTTCCGTGTACCGGGTTTCCCCTTAACTTCAGAACGCCCCCTCTACTCGGAGCTAGTAGACACGACACTGTACACCACGCACGTACACAGGTCCTCACTCAGCATCCCGTCCCAGGGTTCCACCGCCCGCCTTCACGGGGCTCCGGTTCTCCCTGATTCGCTCTTTTATTCGCCAGCCGAGCGTCGCCTGACGGCCGCTGTAGCCGTTTCTGATGTCTCTTCTTTGGCCGAGGTCTCGCCTCCGCTTCACCTCCGACTGGTACTGCCGCCTCCGAGAGCGTCGACTGCCCTGCTGAAGTTACCCCGGGCGAGGACGGCGGCATTGGGTCGCGTCGCTCCCCCTCCCAGGGAGGTCGGGCCCGTTCTCCCTGGCCGACGAGTCGTGCCCGCCCCCGCGGCCTCTCTATCGTTCTCGGCCCGCCCCTCCCCTCCACCGGCTCCTCCCCAAGCTCGGGGGGCCGTGGCTCCCCTTGTCGTAGATCACGGTGGTCCGGCTGCCGCCGCGACGGGTCTACCCCCGGTGGGCTCGCATGGCCCGACTCCACTCGCAGAGGCCGAGTCAGCTGCTCAGCTCGACCCTCCCCTCCCCCGACAGTTGACTCCAGGCCTCACTCGGGGCCCTCCGGTCCTGGCCTTCCGGTTCGCCGGATGGCCCGCTGTCTTCCCACGGCACCTCCCCCCCCTCGGTCCCCTCCCCCGGGTACTCCAGCCTCCGACGGGGCGGTTCCGGCCCCCCCAGGCTCCGCGCGGGTCGGTGCGGTGACGACCACGTCGGCGGCGGGGGCGGAGGCGGCGGAGGGGGGGGGTGGGTACGGTGGCGGTACCGGCGGTCGCATCGCTCGGTACGGGGCCTCAGAGGCGGCCCCTCGACCCAGCGGCCGCTCCAGCGGTGGGGGCGGAGGCGGTGGTGGGGGGGGCGGGTATGGTGGCGGTGCTGGCGGCCGCAACGCCTGGCGCGGGGCCTCGGGGGCGGCCCCCTGCCCCTGCGGTCGTTTCAGACGCGGTTCCACACGTCGGCCGTCTACCACACTCGGGGGGGGGGGGCTAGTCCTTGTCTCCCCTCGAGAAGGGAAGGGGCCAGGGCCCGGATTTGCCGACGGCCCCGCCTCTCCCTCCCCCCGCTCCGCACCAGGCCGTAGACTGCGCAGCAGCCGCGCCGCCTCCCCCCTCACCCGGCCCCCCTCGATTCGGTCCCGCACCGACCGGATATCAAAGGCCGAGTTGTGTTCGGACAGCGGGCCCGCCGATGCCACACGCCTCTTCACACAGCAGGCGTACGCCTTCATCGCCTGCCTCCCCGACGGCGTCGGTCCCGGTGCAATGTCGTTGACGAGGTAGTCCTCCCCCCCCCCCCGGAAAACCTGTCCAAGAAGGTCTGTCGAGCCAACTAGTCGTTTAGCCAGGCCCCACACCTCCCGTGCCTGTACTGGCCTGAGCACGCCGGTGCTGGCCGCGAACGGCAGACCGATCGCCCTAAGTTCTGCCAGGATCGCCCTCTCGCCCGCCACCGCGGTCTCTTGATCCATCTCGGCTTCTCGGATCGCCTTCTCCCGTTGTCTTGCTCTGTCTGCTGCCGGCACGAACCTCACCGGGCTGCCTCGTGCCCTTCCTGGCAAGATCCGCGTCGGGGGAGGCCGACCCCCAGGTTCAGCCCGGCTCGGGGTGCGCTCGCCCGTTGCGACGGTTGCCCCCCCCTCGCCGCCGACCCGTCTCCTTGACCTTGTCTCCTCTTCTCACCGACCACAGGGGCCGCGCAGCCGAAACACACAAACACCCCCTGTCCCTGCATGGCGTGGCACAGGCGCGTCTTCATCCCCTCCTCCGCTTCCCCTTCCACCCGCTCAGAGATCCGTTCAAGGATGGCGCTAACCACACCCCTTCAGCCACTTTCGTAGCCGCAGGTCCGTCCTCCGGCTTCACGTGGAACAGTGTGCGAACTTTATTGCCGCACCCAAGACCGGCTAAAGGCTAAATTCTTTTCCGCAGTGGTGTACCTGTGTTAGTGCCAGTGCGCGCCAGTCCCGTGCCCAGTGTAAAGAAAGAAAGAAAGAAAACACACAACCCAAGGGAGGGATGGGAGAACGGCACGCCGCCACCACACAGGGATTTTAAGGAGAGGAGAGTGTGATGCGCTAGCCGTCGCCCACCCTGGGAAGTCTGCCTCTTCGTATCTCTTTTCCCCTGCGCAGTGTTTTCGGAGGTGCAAAACGGTAAAATTCTTTTCCGTTGGGCAGTGCTACTCGTGTGATCGCGATGACACGATTTCGGCCCTGCATCGATCTCCACGCGGGCGTCGTCAAGCAGATTGTCGGCTCGACGCTGTCGGACGACCCGGACCGGCCGCCGGTCGAGAACTTCGTCGCGAAGCGCTCGCCCGCGGAGTTTGCGGCGCTCTACGCGCAGGCGCAGCTCGAGGGCGGCCACGTCATCATGCTAGGGCCCGGCAACGAGGCGTCGGCGCTCGCCGCGCTCGCCGCGTACCCGGGCGGCCTGCAGATTGGCGGCGGCATCAACCCGCAGAACGCGACTCGCTACCTCGACGCTGGCGCGTCGCACGTCATCGTGACGTCGTACGTCTTTCGCGACGGCAGGCTGGACGAGGAGCGGCTCGCAGAGATGGTGAAGGCCGTGGGGCCGCGCCGCCTCGTGCTCGATCTCTCGTGTCGCCGGCGTGCGCCCGGGGGGCCCTTCTACGTCGTCACCGACCGATGGCAGAAGTTCACCGACCTGACGGTGGACGGCACGACTCTGCGGCGGCTGGCCGCGAGCTGCGCCGAGTTTTTGGTGCACGCCGTCGACGTCGAGGGGAAGCAGTCGGGCGTCGAGCGAGAGCTGGTCGAGGTCCTCGGCCGCGAATCGCCCCTCCCCGTGACGTACGCGGGCGGCGCTCGCTCGCTCGAGGACCTCGACCTCGTGGCGCAGCTGTCCTGCGGGCGGGTCGACGTCACCGTGGGCTCGGCGCTCGACATCTTTGGCGGGGGCTTGTCGTTTGACGCCACGGTGGCGTGGGACGGGAGGCAGCGTGCGGCGGCGTAGCGCGCCGTCGCCCTCCCTCTGATCGCGGCATGTGAGAGAAAGATGAACAAGGGGGGGCTCCCTCCGGAAACTCCGCTCTTTCGGGACGCTCTTTTTCAAGAAGAAAAAACTCGGGGTTCCCGGGGTGGAACCCATGTTTGTATCCCTTGGGTCAAATGTTCATGCCGGAGAGGACAAAGGGTTTCCCCCCCCCCCGGGGAAATTTGCCCCCGCCCCCCCCCCCCCCCCCGCGCCCGGCCGGCCCCCGCCGGGCCCGCTCGCGGTCTCGCGCGTCTTCCGCTCTCGCGCGCGCGACTCGAGGCTGCGAAACCGAAAGTTTATTATTGTCACGACTGCGGTGTGCCCGAGGGACGAGCCACACAGGGCACTGGAATGGCCGAGGCGCGCGCACACACGGGACTACACCGACCCGACGGCACGTCGGCGGGGCGTGCCGCGGGGGGGCGCCTGTGAGAGCGACCGAGAAGCGGGCGACGTACCAAGAAGCGCAATCCGGGGCGGCTCGCCCGTTCGGGCTGAGCGAATCGACCGAAACACACACACACAGAAGAGAGCGAGTGGGCGGCGGGGGCCGCCCTCACAAGCCGCAAGTTGGCCGCAGGGCGCAGCCAGGGTGGAAGCTCACGTCGACTTGCGCCAGAGCCGCTTGACCGTGCCTGTGATGCCCTCGCCCGTCAGGTTGAGGCGGAGGAAGCCGAGCAGAGTCACGCCCGTCAGGCCGAGCATCGCGACGCGGCTCGGCCCCTTCGCGCCCTTGCCGAGGAACTTTTCGGCGTAGTCGGCGATGACGCAGTTCATGGCGAAGTGGGCGTGCAGCGGGAAGGCGACGCCGAGGGCGAGGTCCACCTGCGAAGGGACCGGGGGCGCTGGGCGCGCGCCACTCGAGGCTCGAGCGGCCGCCGCACGCAGAGGCCCACGCCGGCATCGCGAGCAGCGAGGGAGAGACGGCAAAGGCGACTGGCGTGAGGCCGAGCAGCGCCCAGTTGAGCTTGTGGTACTGCGCCATGAGCGGGCCGGACGTGTCTGGCGCGAGCACATCTTGCGCCGGCTTGGCTGCGGGCAACGAGGGCGCCGCGCGGGGTGAGGGTGCTCTTGAGGCGCGGGGAGGGGGGGAGGGGAGCGCGGAGAGAACGGGAGGGGAGGAATGGAGGGCAGGGGGTACGCGAGGCCGGACGGAATGGCGGGCGGGACTCGCACCCGCGCGGAAGCCTCGCGACAGCCGCGGAGCGACAAGGGCGGCCCTGGAGAGCATTGATGATCGGGGCACGACGGACTGCCTCGCTCGGCGTCGGTGTTTGAAGGGTATTTCTTTTTCTCTCTTTTTTTCTAGAGTGATCTGAGCTGAAAACGGCGCCTCAACCAACGGTATGGCGGGTGGAGTGCTCTCTACTGCCGCGGCGCCCCTGTCGGTTCGGAGGCGACCGGCTGCTCTCGCGGCGCCGAGGCGTGCCGCTTTGGTCATGTCACGGGCGCTGCGAGGTGTCTCTTGGCATGTCGGCGCTTGGCATGGACGCCAGGAAGCTCGCCTTCCTTGCCTGCGGCCGCGGGCGTGCGGGTGGGCACGCCAGGCTCGGCGACGCTCCGCGCGGGTCTTCGTACTTCGAGCTCGCGACCCGCGACGAGCCAGCATGGCTCGTCGCTCGACGGGAGCCTGCCCAGCATGCTCTCGGCACTCTGTACAGCCTCGACAAGGGGGCAACGTGTCGACCTCTCTCTCTGGTGCACCACGGGCCGCGACGGCCTGCTAGCAGCTGGCGCGAGGAGGCAGTGTGCCGGCAGCCCGGCACAGTCGAGCCGGAGCATCGGGTTCTTGATGCTTGTGGGGGTCAAGTTTGACCTTATGTGGCATAATATGCAACAATAAGGCTATGCTATCTCCCGGCTTTTTGAGATATGATCCCTCAAAGTCGAATTATGGTCGAGCACTTGAGCACTGGATAGGGTCGATTCCGCATGGCACGGGACCCCTCGATCGTCTCGCCCTCCCTCACTGGTGTGTTCATTGGGGGGGGGCATAACAAACACGGTGCAGGATCGAGGTGCACGCTGCCGAAGCAGTGTCGTCCCCCCTCTCCCCGACGGCGATGGCGGTGTGACCGATTACTAGTGACCATAGTACCGTCTGTCTTGTTTGCGTTTCTTCCAACGAATACGACTTTAAAGTCTCGACAATCACTAAGCTGCTTATGTGGCACCGCAGAGGCTCCCTTGGGGATGCCTGAGGCCACCCCAACCAGTCACCAAGCCTTGCGTGGACGAATTCAAACCTACTTTTATGGTTTACCCACACTAAGCGAGTAAACGCGGGTCTCCGAGAGGGCTCCGTGTACCGGGTTTCCCTACTCGGAGCTAGTGGACACGGACGCGACACCACACGTCACGTACACGTACACGACTGCCTAATGCGTTCTGCTCTCCTTCCTTTTGCTTTTCGCTTTTGTCACCGACTGGCGCGCGCGCTCTCTCTCTCTCTTGCTTGTTGCGTGTGAGTGTGTGTGAAGAATAGCTCCGCCGTTCATGGAGGCACCGATGCGAGTCGACTGGTGTGTGTCGTCGTGGTTTCGTATCAAGAATAACTCACTCAACACTCACGCACTCACTCACTCACTTGTTGCGTCCTACTGCTTTCAGAACCTTCCTTTTACCTAGACGCCGGCCGCCACGAGGCAGGCTCCACGCCTGTGCAACTCTCGGCGTTCCAAACGATGAGAGGTTGGGGTGCGAGCCCTGGAGACCCCAAGGGCCGAAGGCGGAAGGGAGGAGACTCGCCGGGTACCCGGTTACACACCGGGTGGCAGCGGCTGGGCCCCCAGCCAAGAGCAATGATGCCCGGGCAGCCAACCCAGCCACGCCGCGCGGGCAGCCCCTCGCCCACCCGCGCCGGTGTGCCGCGGACGAGCATGTCCGAGCGCATCCTCGCCGCGGAACAGCGGCTCGAGGCGCTCGACCGGGAGCGCGAGGTCGCCGCCGCCGACCTCACCGCGCTCCGGGAGCGGGCCGCCGCGCCGGCCACTGAGCGGCGCTTGCGGACGGCCTACGCGCTGTGGCTCTGCTGCCCCTTCTACCCCGCGTACGCGCTCTATCTCGGCCGCGACCTGCACGCGTGCCTCTACACGCTCACCCTCGGCGGCTTTGGCGTCGGCTGGCTGGTCGACGGCGCCTGCCTGCCGTGGTATGTTGCCGACTACAACGAGCCGCTCGGCTACCTCATGCGCGCGCAGCGGCGAGCGGCGGCGCGGCTCTTCGCGTGGCGCACGCTTCTCCTCCCGGCGCGCTGGCTCCTCGTCTCGGCAAGCTGCTCCCTCGCGGCGGCCCTCGCGGCGGCGGCGCTGCCGGTGAAGCGGCTCGAGGCGGCGGTGGGAGCCGAGCGCGCGGCGGTGGCGCGGCTCGTCGCGGGGCTGCTCGGCGCCACGGTTGGTGCCACCTGCGCCTGCCGCTGCGTCGCCGCCGTCCGCACGCGGGCGAGGCCGCAGAGGGCTCTGTTTTGGGGCGCGCTGCTGCTCTCGCTCGTGCTCGCGTCGGAGGAGGCGCGGGACAAGGTTGCGGAGGAGGGGGTGGCGCCCTCGCTCGCGGCGGTCTCGCTCTCCGTGGCGGTGGCGGCGATGGGCGGCGCCGCCTTCGACCCGTCGCTCTCTCCCTCGAGGGGCGGCCCGGCCGGGCTGGCGGCGCGGCTGCTGCTGCAGCTCGGCGGCGTGGGCGGCGTGGCGGCGGTGGCCGCCCTCTCCTTCCACCTCAACGGCGACGAGTGGCTGGGCAAGGACGGGCGCAAGAAGCTGCGCGAGGCTGGGGCGCAGCTCCACACGCTGTACGAGCAGCTCCGCGCGCGCTCCCTCGCCGACCACTGGGCGAGATCTAGCCGAGACGCGGCCGAGATCTTCCGAGATGCGGCCGAGATCTTCGCGCTCCCTCGCCGATCGGCGTCTGTGAGAGCGGCGGCGCGGCCCCAGAGGCACGCCCAGGGCGCCTCCCCGACACGTGCCCGCAGGCCGACCTGCGCGAGTTGCTGCGCGACCCAGGCGATGGCGCCGCGACGCCGCTCGGCCTCGCGACGTTTCCTTGACGTGTCCCGGACGCGTGTGCCAGGCGACGACGCCGCGACGCTGCTCGGCGTGGCGCGCGACGCTTCGCCCGCTGAGATCAAACAGGCGCACCGGCGACTCGCGCGGCTGCACCACCCGGACAAGCAGCAGGACGCGAGCCGCGAGGAGAAGGAGGAGGCGGAGCGGATGATGAGCCGGCTGAACGCCGCAAAGGACACGCTGCTGGGCGAGTCGTGAGGCCGGCGGCCCCGTATGGCCGCGGGGGCTCCGCCACGCGGGATCGGTGTACAGGGGGGAGGGCGCCACGCGCGACGCGGGATCGGTGTACATGGGGGGAGGGCGGGGTCCGGAGAGAGACTGGACATTGCTCAACATTGGAGTTGCTTTCGCACCGCGGGCTCGAGGAGCTGCGAGGGAGATGATGTGCGCGGGGCATGTGTGCGGGGTCCCTCGCAGGATGGGTCGTTTCGTATTCGAGCTTTGACTCGAAAGCTACACAAGCATGCACACAGAAGCACAACGTCACAAAACTCTCGCAGACCAGTCGCAGACAAGAGACAGTGCAGACAGCATCAGCAACGGATCTCAAAGAGTCAAGTTCATGCCGCGCCGCCCAAATCTCGCTCGATACAGGTTAGCAGCTCAGCCACCTGCGCGCTCGTCTCCGCGTCCATCGGCTCGAGGCTCGAACCGTCCTGGGCGACCGCCTCTCGAAGCCTTGGGAGCGCCTGGGGGCGAGTGGGGACGAGGACCGAACTCAGAGACGGCGTGACAAACGCACGACGACGCGGCGGGAGGAGAGGAGGCTTGGGAAGAGTGCTCGCCTTGCGGACCACATCGGCGCAGCGCTCCGTCGCCGAGAGGGCCGCGGCCGCCTCCACGGCAGCTGCCACCTCGGTCGCCGCAAGCCAGTCGCGCAGCTCGCCTAGAGCCGGCGAGCGAGCAAGCTGTGATCCGAGCTCCCGAGGGGTTGCGGACCGCCCCTCATCTCGGCAGACCCTCCAGGCTGAGGCGCGCGGCGTCGCTTGGGCTGCCAGAAGTGGCGTTGCCGAGCGCGCGCAAGCTGAGCACCTGCGAGGCGGCGGCGTTTTCGTCAGAGGACGGCCCCCGGACCGGGGTGGAGGAGGAGAGGGGCGGAGTGCCGGGGGGCTGCGAGGGGAGCATCAGCTGATTGGTCAAGAATCCTCAGGAGATCGGAAACGAGGAATTCCAGTCTCGGTTGACGAAGCATCACGTGCTCGCGCAGTCGCGGTGTGGGCGCGGCGGTGGTGCGGCGAGAGCGGGGGGGGGGGGTCGCTCGAGAGGGGTTCGCGCCTCCCCGGCGAAGCTGATCGCCGCCGGCCGTACGCAAGCCGCGGCGTCGCGCACCGTCTGCTTGGCGGCCGTGGCGATCTGCTCCACGCGATCCGCGGCGAGCTCGCTCTCGCTCTCGCTGGCGAGGGCGAGGCGGCTCAGGACAGAGAGGAAGCCGTCCTGCACCGCCGCGGGGAGCGATCCCACCCGCTCCGCCGCAGGCAGCAACGCACGCCACGCGGACTCGAGCCAGTCCGCGCCCCCGTCCGCACAGAGCCCGAGCGCGGCTCCCGCCACGTCCAAGCAGCGACCGGCCAAGTCGGGCTCACCGTCGGCAGCGCCACCTCCGCCTCCGCCTCCGCCTCCGCCTCGTGCGCCGGCGGGCTGGTCCTCGCGGGGCCGCTTGCCCTTTTGCTTCCGGCGGGAGGAGAGCGCAGCGACGCGCTGGAGCTCGCCGCTGAGGAGTGCGAGCAGGCCGGGCTTGTGGGAGGGGGCGAGGAGCTGCGTCGGCGGCAGCAGCCGCACGACGGCGGCCAGGCCGGAGGGAGCGGCATCGGCGGCAGCCGACAGCACGTTGGCCAGCCCTTCGAGGGCGATGAGCTGCGCTCGGGAAGGTGGCGCCTCCTCGACGAGCGGCGAGCAAGCGGCGCCAGCGAGAAGGCGCAGCGCCGCTCCTGCAGGCGCGGCGCGGGTCTCGGGCACTGCAGGTCCCAGGAGCACCGGCGCGCGCGGATCCGGGAGCTTTAGGCGCGGGCGGGGGGGCGTGGCGCTCAGACATCCAAGGAAGAGTTGGCCTTCATCGAGGGAGGATTGGTCCCTCGCTGAGGAATGAACTGCGAATGAAGTGCATCATCATCGCGCGTGGCGGGAATCGGCGGTGGTGGGAGGGGCGGTGGAGGGAGGGGCGGTGGAGGGAGGGGCGGTGGTGGGAGGGGCGATGGACGCACCCAACGCGTCGTCGGCCGCCACGGCTCCGCTGCCGCCGGCTGGCCCGCCCTCCGTCGGCGGGAGGGAGACGAGCACAGCGGCGGCAAGGACGAGGCGCTCGCTCGGCAGAGGCGTGGCCGAGGGAGCGGCAGCCGCGCCACCCTCGCCCGCGCTGCCTTCGCCGTTGCTCGCGTCCGAGAGGAGGGCAGCGGCGGCGGCTCGCACGTGATCGCTAGCGGGCTGGTCGAGCGCGCCGTCGGTCAAAGCTAGGATCAACTGCAGGGCGGCCACTGCCGCCGCCTCTGCGCCCTGAGACCCCCAGTCGCACAGCACCGCCACCTCGGCACCCGTCAGCCCCTCGGCAACCTCGGGCGCATTCTCAACCAGGGTCAAGAGGAAGCGGAGTTGGCGGCTGGCGGATACCAGACTGACGGGTCGCGACGCGTCGGTCGCTCCCAGATCGGCGAGCGCGCGGCGGTGCAGACCGTGGGCGACGGCAGCCGCGCAAAAGTCTGCGTTGGCGAGCGATCCCTCATGCAGCGCCTCCCACGCCGCCACACGAAGGCGTGGCGACGAGGAGGCCAAGCAGCGCTCGAGACCGCTGAGGAGGCGGGAGGATGCCTCCTCCGCGAGCGGCTGGGCGGCCGCCTCGAGCATGGCGACGATCTCAGGGAATTGGATCAGGGCGCCCCGCAGCTCTTCCGGCTGCACGTCCTTCCACTCGAGGACGGAGAGCACGGAGGCGAGAGCATCCTGCCAGCGCTGGCGCTGCTCGTCTCGGGCGGCGCGCCCGCGCTTCTTCTTCTTTGCCATTGGCGAGGACCGGCACGCGACCCCAACGGTGGTGTGCGAAGAAGAATTTTACAACACAACACGATTCACGCGAGATCCTCGACCCAGCCCTAGCTTGGGATGTCCGTTGTATTTATTTATTTATGAGATGCTCGAGAGCTTGCCGCGAGGGGCGGTCGAGGCCTCCGTTCGGCTGATGCGCGGTTACAACCGCACGGGCGAGTGGCCAGAGCCCATCCTCACCAGCCCTGCCCCGCAGCGCGGCCGCTCGCCAAGCCCCGTCGATGAGTGGTCAGATGGTTAGTGCCCGAGAGCGAGGGGTCCGGGGGGGAGCACAAACATAGGACGCCCAGCCTTGCCCTCGTGCCGCCGAGTGCATATCCTATGCGAGAGAGATCCCCTGTGCCCTGTGCCCAGCCCTCTCCGCACGGCGATGCGTCCTCCCCCCTCGCTTTTGCAAAATCCTGCAAAGGTGGGGACGTGTCTGTCCTCGACCCAGCCCTAGCTTGGGATGTCCGTTGTATTTATTTATTTATTACGCGACAGCACGGGCGACGGCTTCCACAGAAGCCGTCGTCCTCACCGTAGCCGTCGTCGGACCCCCAATGCGAAGAAGAAATTAATCGTGGCATGGCTGCGGTTGCGATAGGTAGTGGGGAAGGCAGCCTCGATGGCCATACAGACATGGGTGCGAAACAACGATAAGACCAAGGCACGGGCAGAGGAGAGAGAGAAGAATATAGGATGGATAAAGCGCCTGTTCACGGCATGGAGGGTGAGCCACGCCGAACGTACCGAGCGTAGAGCCGAGCGGAAGGAAGCCGGGGAAGACGACTCCGAGGAGGACGAACCAGTGGAAATCCTGTTGTCAGCTGTCACGATGCCGAAGGGGACCCCAGCGCCGGCATCATCCGTGGAGGCACAAGTGTTAGAAGAGAGTGGACCTGAGCAACGATATGACTGGGCGGCAAATGATCGCAGTGGGCGTCAGAAGAGTCGTCCTTGCGCGAGGAGAGCTCGATAGACTCGAGGGGCCAAGATATGCCGCCAGGAGGGCGGAGTTGCGCCGAAAGGCGGGAGAAGCCGCGAGAGCAAGGGAGCGGCAGGCGGCGGCGGCGCCGCAGGACGAGGCAGAGGAGAGCGACGCGACAGAGGAAGAAGCGACAAGGGAGAGAACGACGAGAGTGGGACGACCGCGAGGTGGCATGAAGGTTGCAGCGAGAATCGGCGAGAGACTGCGAAGGGAGATAGGAAGAGGCGGACGACCAAGGGTTAGGGTGGGCGACGGCTAGCGCATCACACCCCTCTCCTTAAAATCCCTGTGTGGTGGCGGCGTGCCGTCCTCCCATCCCTCCCTTGGCGCAAGCCGCTTGGGTTGCCCGTTCTCTTTCTTTCTTTTTTAGTGAGCCGAGCCGGTGAGTGTGCCAGTCCGCGCCAGTCCGCGCCCTTGTCGTGCCAGTGTGCTGTGAGAGAGGCTTGTATTCTAAGAATTCTTTTTTGCTTGCGATATAGAGAATATAGACCCTCGACGCGAGGTGGCATGTAGGCTGCCGCGAGAATCGGCGAGAGACTGCGAGGAGAGAGAGGAAGAGGCAGATGCCCAAGGGCGGGCGACGGGCCGACGGCTAGCGGCTAGCAACACACCTTCCTTCCCGTGAAATCCCTGTGTGGTGGCTGGTGGCGGCGTGCCGTCCTCCCATCCCTCCTTTGCGCTTTGCTGTGTCTGTTTTCTTTCAGAGGGCGGTTACTCTTACTGGACCGTCACCAGACCGTCATGTGTTTGACGACGTTGAACAGTGTTTGACCACGGCGCTGTTCACAGCGCGCGCGGGCGGCGGTTCACGAGAGGCGAGGCGGGCGGCGGCGGCGCGCGATCGTGCTTTTGCCCGGGTTAGGCGTGGTCGCGCGGGCGGCGCGCCGCGCGGTGCTGGCGCCCGCGGTGATGGCGGCACGCTGAAGATTTCTTGGTCCTGACCCTGACCCCGTCCGACGTCCTCCGCGGTGGCAGCGAGCCAGAGCACGAGCGACCTTCCGCATATGACGGATTAGACCCCTCGCGAAAAAAAAGATTTTGTTAAAAAGTCAAGACGACAAGAGTCAAGACGCAAGACGGGGACCGATTTTAGTAGGCGCTACGAGGACCGGGAGCGTCGCGGTGTCAGGACTTCCATCCCTTCGAGAGCTGCCCGTCGTGGTAGCTGCCGTACTCGCTGTAGATGTCCATG